CAGCGACCGCCTTTTCTTGTCCCAAAGTCGATGTTCGACCCATAATTAGCAACCACGATGCAGGAAATCAAAGGTTGTTCGAAGCTCCATCTGAAATTTTGATGATTTTCCATGGTCCTGAATGGACTCTTTCAATACTACAGCTGAACAAATGAACGCAGGCTCTTTTTGACTGTGGGCTGTACTGCACCTGTCATAGTTTCAAGTCCTGTCATGAGCAAACATGATAGTAAACATCTTGGAGAGCACATTGCACCTTCTCCTTCATCGATGTTACTGCTCGAAGGAGAAATGGCATTGTGCAAGCGGCAGGGAATGGTATTACAGTCAAATCTGTCGTAAGCGACCGCCCCTTGGCGCAAGAAAAAGCGGTCTCTTACGGCAGATGGTGTCTTATAGCAGATGTATGGTAAATCCAGCATACCGGGCATGCATATAATTATTATGCTTCCATGTACTCAAATCGACGAGAATAATGTGATCTTTAATATCATTTTATTGGATATTCAATAGAATATAGCATAGGGGTGCACAAACCCAAGAATAGTGCACATACCAGGGCTAATCTTTTACATGTTCAGCCAGCTGTCGATCAAGGCACTTGCAAGACAGCGCATTTTCACGCCTTGCAGTTGACAGCGCACTGGCAAGTACAGTTCCGCACCTGACTGAACCTGGGCCGCGGTCGCTTACAGCAGATTTGAATGCAGCCACTGTGCGTGAAATCGCGGTCGCTGGTCGCGCACAGCAGATGGTCGCTCTGGACAGATCAGTTTGTATGTGAAACCGTTGGTGCACGGAAAATCGGTCGCTAACGGTAGATGGTCGCCTACAGCAGAGGTCGCTAACGGCAGATTTGACTGTAGCTGCATTTTGACTTACATAATTATCATAGAAGGGGATCCATATATGGTCACGTAGTGCAAACCTCTAAGTAAAGACCACCTGCCACTCCAGTCCATTCATCGGAAACAGTCCCGCTAGCTTTTGAAAGTCCAATTTGGGCCGAATTAAGGATCAAAAACCCACTTTAAATCTCGAAATTGTCCATAGCAGTGTCTGCTCCAGAACTGGGTCAGCCAGGTCAGTGACCCGGTTGCAGCTTACTTGGATGCGCTTGGGAAAAGAACACCGGGTCACGTGTCACCCAGTTGGGACTCAATCAGGGAGTCCTAAGATTCCCTGATGTACCATAGCCGCACTGGAATGTACCCAGGACTGACCCGGTTGCAAGAGTTGTGCCAGGTACACGTGTACCCAGTTGGTTAGAAATCCTAGAGCAAACACTGCATAGGTCGTCACACTGCCATACTATTACTGTACATTTCATTTGGCCAGACCATCGTGGTGTTCTTTTGTGTTCACTCGCAGCACTGTCCATAGCACCACTTTACGCCAGGGTTAACCTGCGAAGGGACGATGCGGACTACACTGCGGTTTCTGACCAGATGATGATTGCCCTGAGGTTTGGAAGCGATGGCAAAAAGGTGGATGTACGTGTTATCCCCAATGAAGAGTGGCCACAACGTACGACACGTGATGTTCAGTCTGCTCTTGTATCTGAAAATTCCCTGTCAATTCAAGCGGAAAATACCGAGAGTACAGCTGGTAAGGAACTTTAACCAGCACATTAATCCATGAAGACCCCCTAGGGATAATCAACTGTTCAACCATCCCTCAAACAACAAATATATCAACGTTTGGAGTATAATGCCGTGAACAGGATGAACTGCGCGCTCACGACTCTATACACATATGCAAAGCGAGGCTAGTCTATTGTTTACAAAATTGTTTTTTTTTGTGAAACTTACCAGTTAGAAAACGTCACAAGCAAGAATCGAGGAAGAAGAACGAAATAATTAAAATCATGCAGAGACAGTGAACAGTTTCCAAATACACACAGTGAGACTTAGCACAACATTTGTGAAGATTACTTGCATCCAAGTTTGGAAAAAATAAATAAACAAGAGAGGGGGGGGGGGGGGGAGTAAGTGAATCATAGACAACTAACTGAACAGGTGAGGGTGACTTGATCAGTTAGTCGTCATCCGTGTAACCCCCCTCCCCTTTCCAACCTTGGATGTTTCCTTCACTAATATGTGCTAATTACCACTGTGTGTATTTGGGACTGTTTGCTTTCGCTGCATGTATTTATGCTCTTCTTTCTTGATTTACGCTTGTGATGTTTTCCAGCTGATGAATGCCACAAAAAATGTTTTGGACAGGTGTATAGAGTCATGAGTGCGCAGTTGATGATCCTGTCCATACTGTATCTTATTGCCTTCATGCAGATCATTATTTGCACAGTTTGGAGTATATATATCCATACATCTTCACAACACACCAAGTGGTCTCTGTTTGGAGTATAGATTTTGTGGCACATGTCATGTTTACTAATCAGCTTTTTGCAATACCTCACTGTGAAGCTTTTTAGCTACAATTGGAGGATTGCTTTAACATGGTTGCACTCCACAGAATTGTAGGGTCGATATCAATAACACTTAGTGAGCTTAAAATGGACTGTTTACATTCATTGTACCCCTTACTAAGTCTACTGAACTGTGCAGTTTGTCACCATACCACTCTGAAGTTGTCTATTCAACATTGTCCTGTGTGTGGTGTTTATGATCTACAGGCGGACAGCCGCTTCAAAGCAGTTCAGTGACATCGTCATCACCCCAGCATTGTAACGAGCAGCGCGACACTTCGTATGGTGGTGCACACTCCACCTCTTCTGGTCTTGTGCAGCCTGTGCAGCCTGTCGCTCAGACTCAAACGCCAACAGATAATGACATGTTCTCGTCAAGAGAATATTCTACCAGCCATGCCATTGCTGCTGATGAGGGCAATGGTCATCAGGTACGTGTTATGTACTGTAACCCTAGGTCGTACCTGGTTGTGCTCATCCATATGTGTACAAAAGAAGGCAATGAAAGTTAGTTTACATTATCCTATAATTATAGTACGAAATAGAGGTTGCGACTTCGGCGATGATTTTGTTTAGGAATGGCGCGAGCTCCAGTGTGGGAGCAAATCCATTCCTATAATTATAGATAAATGAAAGATCTCCTATCTACAAGCTTACTGCTAGTCTTCTAGTTGAGGACACTCCCTTAGGGTTGCATCTACCAGGCATACACTACCGGCAGCTGCAGAAAGTCACCCCACTCCTTCCATGCATCCATGCACCCTGATGTGTGGCCTGTGAAAGGGATGGAAGTATGATTGTATCAACATTATTGTCCTGTATCTTGCTTAGACGCACCCTGGAATACTTTGAACCGCTGTTTTAAAAGTACCATTAACACTAGAGAACTCTTGATCTGGCACTAGCGTAGCAAAGATACAGTGAATGAGGTATTCGGTTGTTTGACTATCTAGTTCAGGATCTGATTTAATTACCTCACAACGCTTTTAAAGTAACTGCATATGCGCTTTGAACTGATCATTGAGAGTGGTGGCGTTCCTACTGATCATTGAGAGTGGTGGCGTTCCTACTGATCATTGAGAGTGGTGGCGTTCCTACTGATCATTGAGAGTGGTGGCGTTCCTACTGATCATTGAGAGTGGTGGCGTTCCTACTGATCATTGAGAGTGGTGGCGTTCCTACTGATCATTGAGAGTGGTGGCGTTCCTACTGATCATTGAGAGTGGTGGCGTTCCTACTGATCATTGAGAGTGGTGGCGTTCCTACTGATCATTGAGAGTGGTGGCGTTCCTACTGATCATTGAGAGTGGTGGCGTTCCTACTGATCATTGAGAGTGGTGGCGTTCCTACTGATCATTGAGAGTGGTGGTGTTCCTACTGATCATTGAGAGTGGTGGCGTTCCTACTGATCATTGAGAGTGGTGGCGTTCCTACTGATCATTGAGAGTGGTGGCGTTCCTACTGATCATTGAGAGTGGTGGCGTTCCTACTGATCATTGAGAGTGGTGGCGTTCCTACTGATCATTGAGAGTGGTGGCGTTCCTACTGATGCCGAGCATGCGGTATGTGACTCTCACGGGAACCGTGCAGTGTAAACAATCCTGTTGACCTATGATATCATAGTACTAGTATCGCATTACAATACTGTTAGAACTGTTTGTAAGTGTACTTGCCAGTGTACTTCACACCTCCACTGCGATGCCGGTGACGGGATGCTATACTTATCGTAGATGCCCGTTAGCAGGTATATTATCTAACCTTTGACCCGGGACCCAATTCTGGAGGCCTATACTAGCTTTTAACATTTCATGGCAAACGTATATCGGGCATGTTTTGATGGTAATCAGGAAGTCCCTGCTAGGCAGTGAAGGATCCAGGTATGTTTCCGATTATATTGTTTGGGGACGGGGGCACTTGTTTTGAGTGGTATCCACATTTGGGGAGGGAAACCAGGGAAGTTCAAGAATTCGGAAGGAAAATGTTTTTAGGGCATGTACTCATTTTAACTGATTTTATATTTATTTGGTCGTATAGAGGGGCTGTGTAGAAGCTGACACTACATTTATAAACCTTTGTGCGGAATGAAGTTTAGTTGGGTACAGTGGGAGAGCTAGGGGTGAGTTCAAACCGCACAAGGATCTAGAGTATTGAACAGTTTCCGTTTCTTTGAAGTGATGTGGCACGAGCGAAGAAACTATCTGTTGCCCCAAGGTGAAAACGGAAAAAGTAACTCAACAGATGAGAACAAGATGAATGTCATGTCGTGGTCGACACGCGGTGGTCTGGGTGTGAGCCCAGAATGGTGAACTCGCGAGGTACTACGTATGTAAGTGAAAAACGAGGAGAAAAAAAAGGTGAAGCCAGATCGCGACTCCTGTACATGTAGTAATATGATGACTTGGTTTGCATATGTGTATAGCTGGAATAAAATCACGACACCCATCGTGACACTCACCCCAGAAAGACGGGAACGAAGTTACATGTATATAAAAATAAGAAATTGGGAGACGATAGATGGAAAGAGAAAGACAATACAAATGTTAACTATGATGCTGGCAAACAAGTCATCTTCACAACTTGTCGCTGTTGATTAGCTGCTGGAGTTGTTGGCGTTGCCTTGCCGCAGCTGCACGCTGCGGACGACCAGGCGGCGGCGTGGCGGCAGCGGCGGGTGTGGCTGTTGCGGCGAGTGTATCTGCTGCAGCGGGTGCGGCTTCGGCGGCGGGTGCTACATCCTCGCATTCCAGAGGATACAGAAGGCGCAACGGGCGTTTCAGCTGGCAGTTGTCTGCAGTGATGACTGTCGCCGACCGGATGTGACCGTCTGCGCTAACCTGGAGATCAACAATCCTAGCGAGCCTCCAGGTAGCTCTTGGTGCGTCATCAGCCAGCAAGACAATTGAGCCGACTGCTGGAGCCGCTGTGGTGGCTTTACCACGCTGTTGAAGTCGCTGATGGCGGTCACGCAGTTCCGCCAAGTACTCATTGCGCCACTGTTGCCAGAAGGCATTCAGCAGGCGCTCACCCTTTGCCCACAGGGTGACCAGGTCGTGTGCTGGGGTGGCGTTCGGAACGTACTCCGGGTCATCCGAATTGTCCTGGGAGGGCAGTGGTAGAGCTGTCGTAGTCCGGTGACAGAGAAATGCCGATGGTGTCAGCACAGCCTCGATGTCGTCACCGACGTATGTCAGCGGTCTCGAATTCAGGACTGCCTCGACTTCGCTCAGCATCGTCACCAGCTGTGACAACTGAAGCCGGGCGTTGCCGAGGGTCTTGCGCTGGCAGCGCTTCGCAAGCCCAACCATGCGTTCATAAAACCCGCCCATCCAGGGCGATAGAGGCACGATAAACCGCCAGCATATCCTGGCAGATGTCAGAAGGTGCTGAAGGTCGTCACTTCGCACCGACGTCTCGAATGCCGTGTCCAGGGTCGTTCGCGCCAGTGCAAACTGAGGCGCGTTGTCGCACACAATGAGTTGGGGTGCACCACGTCTTGATATAAAGCGCCGGAGCGCTAGCAGGAACTCAGACGTTTTCAGGTGTTCAACACACTCCATATGGACGGCTCGTGTCGTCATACATGTGAACAGTGCCACCCACACTTTCTGTGGCTCTGCTTGCCTGAAGACGTACAGGGGGCCAAAGTAGTCCAGGCCGGTATTGGTGAACGCAGTGGGTCTGGAGACTCGTTCCATTGGCAATGGCGGGAAGTCGGGCGTCGCAAACGGCAGTCCTTGAACGTGCTTACATGTCACACATCTGTGTATTGCTTTCTTTGCCGCGGCGCGACCAGTGGGTATCCAGTACTCCGTGCGGACTCGCACGAGCGTGTGCGCGACACCGTTGTGTAGCACTTTCTGATGCGCTTGCCGGAAGACAAGTAGCGTGATGTGGTGCGCGGGGGGCAGGAGAGCGGGAAACTTGGCCCTGTCTGCTAGGTCAGCGTTCTCCAAGCGCCCGCGGCAGCGGATGACGTCATCGGGGCCTTGGAACTTGAGCTGCTGGATGAGCTGTTGCTGCTTTCCTTGGCGTAGAGCGGTGAGGACATCGCGTACTCTGATTCCTGCACATGCTTGATCCACATGCTTGGCTTGTTCTTGCTCTTCGACAGTGACAGGACCAGACAGTGACTCGGCTCCACGCAACCTGCAAACAAAGCACAGACACAGAGCAGAGAAACGCACTAAGGACCCGAGGGAGGAGAAATGAGTGCAACCAATGCCAAATGGGGGCAATACCTCTTTGCATGTGTAACTCGTATACTCTCAGCACTCAAAGCACATACTTGAAGTAGCCATGCTACACATGCATCAGATTTGTTGTTGTTTTGTGACATGTTCACCGGGCTCCGGTCACCCGAACGTTTCGGAAACTCTGAAAGACACTCCCCAGGCGGCAGTGGTGGTACTTCATAGGCGCGGTGTAGCCAGTTGGGGCCGTGCCACCAGAGAGACGACGCTTTGAGAGCTGCGGCAGGGATGCCACGGGACGGTAGGTCGGCAGGGTTGTCTGCCGAACGGATGTAGCCGATTGCCACATCAGGGACGGACTGAATGGCGTCGACTCGGTTGTGAACGAATGTTGGTGGGCGTCGGGTTGATTGAAGCAAATGTAGAACTGTTGATGAGTCGCTCCAAAGGACGGTGGTAGAGAAGTTGAGTGGCAACTCGGTCCGCAGAAAGGTGATCATCCGAGAGCCGATGACGGCAGCAAGAAGTTCCAGACGGGGAATAGCATGCGGCTTAGTAGGTGCAACTCTTGACTTGCTGAAGATGATATGAACGCTGGTATGTTGAGACGTTGTAATGCGTAGGTAGGCTGCCGCGGCGTAGGCCGCTTCGGAAGCGTCCGCGAAGACATGAAGCTCGTACCGGACGTCAGCAGCGTCTGGCAGACAGCCGATGAAACGGGGAAGCAAAGCAGCACAGGCGGCATCGATGTCGCTGGCGACCGGGAGCCAGCGGGACAAGATATCAGGTGGAAGGGGATCGTCCCAATCGAGATTCAGGAGCCAAATGCTCTAGAAGAGAATCTTGGCGGCTACGGTTACAGGTGTGATGAGCCCAAGCGGGTCGAAACACTTCGCGATGATCTGCAGAAGCTGTCGCTTCGTGTTGATGAGTTGAATGCCAGCTTGAACTGGGTTGATGGCCAGTGTGTCTCCATCTGGAGACCAGAGGAGGCCAAGACAGCGCTGAGGTGATATTATGGACCGGTCGACACGGTCAACGGTCAGGAGAAATTCTGGGGAATTTGAAGACCACTCCCGCAGGTTCATTCCTGCTGATGCGAACAAAGACTTCGTATGTTGGTACAGCTGGGTTGCGGCCGAGACACACGTCGTGCCGGTGATGAGGTTGTCAAGTTTGTGCGGAATTAAGTTTAGTTGGGTACAGTGGGAGAGCTAGGGGTGAGTTCAAACCGCACAAGGATCTAGAGTATTGAACAGTTTCCGTTTCTTTGAAGTGATATGGCACGAGCGAAGAAACTTGCTGTTGCCCCAAGGTGAAAACGGAAAAAGTAACTCAACAGAAAAGAACAAGATGGATGTCATGTCGTGGTCGACACGCGGTGGTCTGGGTGTGAGCCCAGAATGGTGAACTCGCGAGGTACTACGTATGTAAGTGAAAAACGAGGAGAAAAAAAAGGTGAAGCCAGATCGCGACTCCTGTACATGTAGTAATATGATGACTTGGTTTGCATTATGTGTATAGCTGGAATAAAATCACGACACCCATCGTGACAACCTTATTGGTATAATTGTATGTTCGTTCTTGCGTGTATATTGTGTGAACTCCAGATTCCTGGAAAGGTCTGTCTTGAATCTCATCAGTCTCCACCAGCAGGCATACCCCAGGCATCTGCTGTGCAGGATAATCCACCAACCAATCCAACCCAAAACAATGTCACTTGGGAAGTGGTCTCAGAACCACCCACTGAGCAAACGACTGTGCAAGAGGGTCTTCCGCCTCTTGTCTGCAGACGTTCCGATGCAGTGCCAGGCTCCTCGCGGCCTTTCAAGCGTGACGGTAGTGGTGAGCTTGCACTGGCATCCAGTCATGCCAGTAAGGGTGTGCCATCAGACCATCATGACGATAAGGATGAGGTGGATGAAAAGGAGCCTGAAATCGCAAGCAGTCAGGAGACGGTGTCCGATACACCTGCTCCTAGTGGTGAGCTTGCACTGGCATCCAGTCATGCCAGTAAGGGTGTGCCATCAGGCCATCATGACGATACGGATGAGGTGGATGAAAAGGAGCCTGAAATCGCAAGCAGTCAGGAGACGGTGTCCGATACACCTGCTGCAACTCCTCGCAAACGACTGTCTGGCGCAGTCAGTGGCTTCTTGAGTCAAGCAAAACAAACCGTGGCTAACCACCTCCTGTCCAAAAGAGCTCACACTGCAGAAGCGAGCACTGGCAATGCAATGGATGGCTCCAGTGCGGCGGCGACGGAGGGGACTCTATCCCGCATTGACAAGCCCTCACAACAACATGTAGTGTGTGAGGAGTCGAGCGGACCGGCCAGGCCTGTGTCTGCACCACATGGCAGTGTCTCGAAATCCTCTGCTCCACCTTCCCACCACGGTTGAAGGAAGTCTGCTGGGCTAGAGTATGTATCTCTATTGTCTGATGGATTTCCCGGAGGCTTGGGGATCTCAGGGGATCTCAGCCCTAATGGTGAACGCGAGCATCTATTAACCGGTCTAGCAGCATATGCAGGAAATAATAGTTGCATTTATAACTGCTCTTGGACCCAACAAACCCTACCTTGCACTATTATGTGCGAACCAGTGATGACGGCGCTGTATATTCTACTCATAGATGTAGTATAACCAATCAATTTTCATACAGATTACGGCGCTTTGTTCGTTGTTCAATGAGATTTTTCTGGCTTGGCTTAAGTAGATGCACACCAGTAACGTTCAGAAATTCATGTTTACAACAGTTACTGTAAACCCTATAAACCCTAGGGTTTATCGGGTGTTAGCGGCCGTCGTGAGTTCCCTTCGGGAACGGATACGATAATTTACTTTTTTTTTTTACTTTTTACAGTTACTGTAATACGCCCTCAGCCGTCTATGGTCTTCAGTGTGAGCACCCGGATTGCCATATTTATTGTATCAGTGTCCTATTTGTAGAAGGTAGTTGCTCTTAGGGTCGGAGCTCACGCTTCCTGTAAACTGACTGACACCCTGCCTTTCTGTTTTGTCTCGATGCAAACGGCATTCATTTCTTGAGAATTTTTCATGTGTCACACATGACATGAATTCCTTTGCTGGTTGTGTTTTTTGAACTTTTTTCTTTGGTAAAGCGGATGTGTGAACTTTACTTTACTTTAGTTTTACTCTGAAGTGACGAGATACAATCACCAATTTGAGCGCGTTGATCTTTGATTTGAACTTTTTTTTAATGTTTTCTTGGAGTTGATTGTTCCAACTAGGAACACCCGCTTCTTGCCGAACTTGACACTTGACTGACTCACGACTGCCATCCGGTCGTTTTCTTGGATTTGATCTTTTTTGTTCCACTTTGACAGATTCAATGTCAATCTTTATTTATACTTGTAATAATGAAAAGACATATCAGGGTCCTTTTTTATTTAAAAAGCTGCACCCTCATGCTCTGTTAGCGCTCTGTTCTTGTGCCTGCAAGACTGTGCTTTGAGGTGCATAGCTGTCCAGTGATGCCACCTACTGGTGTCTCGCTCTCAGCCTGCATCATGACACTCCGAAGCTCCCGGCGTCCAACCCAGCTTAGTATACGACCACCAGCGGGAAACTCGGAATGCAGTTCTCCAATGATCGTATTTTCATTGGCCATCAGCGTATCTCGGGCGCTGTACCAAACAATGTGCACGTGTGTGTGTGTGTGTGTGTGTGTGTGTGTGTGTGTGTGTGTGTGTGTGTGTCCCGATTCTGCTCGTGACTTGAACACTGTTGGTCCCTTCGGGACCTGCTATGATCTCCGGATGGGCAATGGGCATATTGTATTGTATTGTGTGTGTGCGTGTGTGTGTGTGTGTGTGTGTGTGTGTGTGTGCGTGTGCGTGCGTGTGTGTGGCCGTCCTATTCCGATGTACTCCGTGTGGTGTAGACCAGGTGTGCATTGGGGGGTCGATTTACATGGCTTCGCCAGTTGTGTGGATTATCTGGCGCTTGTCTTGATCTGTTTCAATCAGAATCAGATCCGCTATCGTTGCTATAAAGAGAAAATCTGTGGGTGCACACCCAGTGCATTTGCAGATTTGCGTGCTTCTCTTGCGACGGGCGTATACATGGTACATGGTACATGGTGTGTGTACATGTATCTGCATTTGTGGTGTGTCTGTACGCCTCGGAGCATGCACATTTTGCATGAGATTTCCCAAAATACAATGTACACCAGGGAGTCGTAAAATATTTTCCGACTCCCTGATTACACGTACACTGCAGATGTCACGATGGCTCCTCTGTGGCACTATGAGCACGGTGCACCATGAAGACGTAAAAAACAGTAATGCAGACATCGAATTAGCTACTAGCATGTGCTTGCATGTAGGCGTGTGTGTGTGTATGTGCATGTGTGTATGTACATGGTGTGTGTGTGCGTGCGTGTGTGTGTGTGTGTGCGTGCATGCGTGACTGTGTATGCGGTTGTGTGCTGGGGTGGTATGCCACGGTAGAATCTGGACCCTGGTTAGGTCCTCAGTGGTGGGCTACTGGGTATTGTAGGATAATTAATTATGGTAACACTGATGTGCACAGGGTATTCCTATGCCATGAATTTTGAGATATTACGGAGGATTAGCAAGACGAAATTCGCGTTCGCGTTCGCAAACATTTTTCAGTTCGCGAACTGGATTGCGTACTTTCGCATTTTTCGTTCGGAAAAGTAGTCCGAACACGAATCGCGGATTCGTGTCACGTCAGGGCAGTCATAAATTTACCACGCTGTAGTGTCTGTACGCAATGTACGTCGTGTCAACGTCATGCAAGTGCAAGTGCTGTCTGCTAATCCTTCTCATAACGCGAATTCCGTCACTGAGTTCGACTTTCCTTGGAGAGAGCGAACGCGAACGCAAATTTCGTCTTGCTAATCCTCCGTATTGCATGACGATTGTACTGTATCCGGAATGCATCGCAAGTACTGTACTGGTTTGTCCGTGCAAAATCGTTGTTGAATGTTGTTTTGACGCGAAGGATGTGCAGTGACTGACGTCTCATGACATGACGTCGACTGTATAATTATGGTGCATGCGTGGTGCAAGGATATGACTGTCTCCAAATGAGGCACGGCGCGTCCTCATGTACTCTTGTGTACTACATTGTACTGTGACTACTACACCGTACTACTAGTACTACCGTACTGGCAATATATGTTGCCGCAGTGAGGCCATGAAGCGTTACATTGGCACATGTTTGCCGCACGCAGGGCGTTACATGCAAAGTCGCACAGGAGCCGTTACACAGGTTTCTATATTGCCGCAGTCCTTTTTTTGCCACGCGGTACACGTGCTTTCACAGTTTTCAGCCTTTGCAGTGCAAACTGCAATGAAAAGATCGCCGCACCCCGCCTGACGCGCGTTACGAACTCAACGAAAATTTGTCGCACTAGCCTGGTCGCGCGTTACGCCGCACCCCCCTGCGTTACGCGTTACGCGGCAACATATATTGCCAGTACGGTAGTACATGTACTAGTACTAGTAGTAGACCGAGTGCTACTACCGTACTGGCAATATATGTTGCCGCAGTGAGGCCATGAAGCGTTACATTGGCACATGTTTGCCGCACGCAGGGCGTTACATCCAAAGTCGCACAGGAGCCGTTACATAGGTTTCTATATTGCCGCAGTCCTTTTTTTGCTATTGCCGCATCACTTTTTTTGCTATTGCCGCATCATTTTTTTGCTTTTACCGCATCATTTTTTTCTTTTCATCCACATTGAAGGCACAGAAATTCAGTTGCTATCCAACTGTTACAAACCCGACGGCAAAGGGCGACAACGATATCAATAGAAGACTGTATATTTTAACTATCAGAGTGATCTGTTCACAAAAAGATCATCAAAAGGAAAGTGACATAGGGGAAGAGCGCTTCCTCCAAAAACTACTGTCACTCACACAGTTAAGGTGGCAGTCTGGGTTCGCGGCCCGACCGCATGAACACAGCCGTAACTTCCATAATAATTGATGAATTTTGCTCAAATCTTGACCACATACCCAGTGTATTTCACTAAGTCCAATGAAGTATAAATCAAGCTCACACATGGGAATCCGCAGGCACAATAGTCAAATCTGCGATTATGCCGTACCACCAATACCTTAGACGCAATATGCAAACGCAGAAAGAAGCTGGGTAGAAACTGAGTGCTCCACAGGATTTCCTTCACATATACCTAGGTGCTGAGTGGAGCGGAATTTTGAAATCATATTCAGAACAAAGTACTCAAGCTGTCAAACAAAAATCATGCAATCGCGCAAAATTTAGGTCCTCGATCAGTAGCACTTTACTCAAAGCTACTAGACAAATATAAAAATCCATGACACTTAGCACCTTGATAAATGCTCACAGTTTCCAAAAATGTATGGTTTATGGGGTCTGTGACTTACAGGTTCTTTGCTACGCTGTCTAAGAGGTACGGGACTCAGTGGAAAATGGAGAAAAAAAGTGCTCTGTGCAAGTACAGATGGAGGTATGTCTGTCCAACTAGAACTTACTAGAACTTAGTCGAAGCCACCAGCTTCATATGTCAAACCTTCTTCCTCTTGCTGCTCATCCTGGATGCCCTTCCTGATCCTCCTTCGCTTCTTTCGTGACCTCTTCCCTTCTTCTGACTTCTTTCTGGCAGCATGTGCCTGTCTCTCACGGTCTAGCAGCTTGATGAGACGTGTCGTATGGTATCCAGTAGGGAGGCCCATCTCGTCCAGAACGCGTTTCACTGCCACACCTCCATCATTGAACCAGGCCACGGCCAGGTAGACGCACATCTGGACAGTGGGAGCGGATGCAAAGCCTGTCTTTGGACACAACTGCCACACGAGTCCATTGAACGCTTCGTTGCGATTCTGCGTAGCACCCTTCTGGCAGCGCTCGAGCAAACTCCGGTCGGACAACCGAATGTAGACCGGCTTCAGTTCCTTCCATACTGCCTCTGGCAGGATATTGTGGTGGGCGTAGACATCACCACCTGCCTGTTGCTGCTGCCATCTACACCAGCTGTTAATTCCAGGCGGACAATACTGGTGCTGAGGTTTACTGTCGCTGGATGCACGATGCATGAGGGATGCCCATATGGCCCTGGCCATGGCTTGCAAGTCTCCGCTGTTGTTCCGCACAGCCATGCCATAGTAGGCTTGCAGCTTGTTGATCATGGCATCCGTGAGGCGACCACGTCCGCCTATAGTGCGCCCATCAGCAAGCTTCTTGCCCGCAAGGTTTTTCTTCAGCTTTCTTAGGCTGGTACCGATGCGTTTTTGAACGTGGCCGACACATTCCTCCTTGACTACAGGCACCTCGGGCCCATACGGACAAGCGTCACGCACAGCCTTAAAACTCTTGGTATCTCCATCACCAATGTAGGTGGTGTACCTCAGCTTGCGGCTCTCAAAGGACCTGGCCCACAGAGTCTTGGCGGCTGCACTCTCCATGGCAGGAGCTGATACAGTGGTGTTGACTGAGGAATCGTGTTCGGCAATCTGTCGATCATAGTCATCTTTGGTTAGCTCTCCCTTCTCTTTTCTAGACGCCAAGTGCGTGCACTTGTGGCAAAACTTTGAAAGCACTTCGCAGTCCACCACTTTGCCGACATCATATGCAATTATAGTGAAGGCTCCGAAGAGCGATGCGAATCCTCGGCGCATCCAGGTACCGTCATAGGAAGCAGCGATATCGCTACCCCCATCTGCTGCGGACACTGCTTTCTCAGCTGCCTCAGTCATGCTACGCTCAGCGACGCTCTTGGACGCGGAATGCAGGCCTTTAGCATGGCTGTAAAATGTCGACCGACTCATAGGTGATGGCATATTCAGTGCACCCGCCAGCTTTACCATTGATTGACGTCCACGGCCAATCAGTCGCATTCCGAATACTGCTCGTCTGTGCACCTCCCAGACCCGATTGAACTTCTTGGACATAAATTCGCTTGCTATGTCGCCGCAGTTAACACAGGAAAGCTCCAGGCATGATGCAAGGCCTCCCCGTTGCGATTCGCTGATCGTGACTGCGCCATTACAGCCACTGCAACAAACTGCAGCTGACAAAAGCTGCTGAAGGCACTCGAGATCAATCAGGCGAAATCCATGCGCCCCTTCCTCACACTCTTCATCCAAGTCACTGTCGGAGGAACTGCTGTCGACTTCACCGCCACTTCCATCACTATCGCTGCTTGAAGACGTGGCTTCAGCTGACACTTCAAGGTCGTCATCAGACAGTGGCAAGTCAGGAATTTGTTCTGCAGGCGAAATTTTACCAGAGGGAGCCTTCGGCGCCTGAGACACTCCATAGAACGTTCTTTTCCTTTTCTTAGATCGTCCGGGCTTTCCCTTGGCTCTAGACTTCCCCATAGTAGCCAACGAAGGGGTTAGCTCCAAGAAACAATTACTCCAAAACAATTACTCCAAAAGTAACTAGTTTCAACAGCAGAGCGATCAGCTGAGATCATGAGAGTCGAAATTTGAATTTTTTTTGAATTTGCGCATGCGCAAAAGTTATCTTGGTTGCCATGGTGACAAACATCGTGCGCGGCTGTCAGTCTGCAGCGCAGAGGAGTACCAGGAGTCGCTCCTGAAAATTTTAATGAAATCGCTCAAAGATTGACGGTAAAAATCGGAATAGTGTGCAAACCTAAATTTTGTAGAAATTTGCTGATATTTCAGTATTTCAAAAACAATTGTGCAGACTTTGCGCGGCTATATCTCCGGAAGGAAGCACCCGATTACGCTCAAATTTTCAGGATAAACCCTTTGGACCATACACAAGACGCTGCCAGTGAAAAAATACAGAAAATCGAAACTTTGTTTTTTGACCCTCTGAACCCAGACTGCCACCTTAATGAGTGTACAACATAATTATTACAAAGTCACCGTGGCTATCATTAGTGATCACCATGATCACTGCTGCTGCTGCTGTCAGGACTTCCTGCTGCGTCCAGTTTTGAACTTTTCACCACGCGGTACACGTGCTTTCACAGTTTTCAGCCTTTTTTTTGCAGTGCAAACTGCAATGAAAAGATCGCCGCACGCGCACCCCGCCGGACGCGCGTTACGAAGTCAACGAAAATTTGTCGCACTAGCCTGGTCGCGCGTTACGCCGCACCCCCCTGCGTTACGCGTTACGCGGCAACATATATTGCCAGTACGGTACTTCTAGTGCGCGATCGACTCGACTAGACTAGACTGCGCGAGTGCGCGACTGCGCGAGCGTGCGTAGCCGTAGGCTTACGTCATGACTCACGCAGAACTGGGCTGCAGTGCTGGTACATGGTGCAGTGCAAGTGGTGGCTGGTGGGGTTTCCCAGGGACCAGCCCGATGCCAGCGACAAAAGAAAAAAACCATGGTCTGCACCACTGAGTCTGTCCTGAAAACCTCCCTGGTACTGTGCCTGTGGTAGATCTACTCAGTTATGTATTATGTACTGACGTGTGTGTTGGCTGTAGCCAGAGTGTAGGTCCACATGAGTGATGGTTCTACAGTCTACAACTACAGTAGATCTACAACAAGTACACAATCATGTTACTGTAGTACAATCTACATGACACAGTCAGTCTACAGACTACACACTCACAAAAAGTCACATCAAGCTGCAAGAGGAATGAGGAGCAACGCTCCGGACAAGCTAGGCTCTAGTAAAACAGTAAAAGTCTCGATGCCATGTAGAGCAAGCTGAGTCTATACGTTTGTGCGTGCTCGCTTTGTTTTTGTGTTATCCCTGGCCGCTGTTGTGGCTGCTTGATTTCTCGCTTCTCTCCTGTGCGTTTTGTTGCTTATCGTGTTCTTGTTTGTATTAGTTTTGGTCAATTTTCTTGAACTTATTTTTGGGAACACATCCCCATGCTGTGTGATCAGTCGTGTTCAGTCTTTTTTGGTGCTGTTGTGGCTGCTGCACTGAATGGACGCTGTTGTGCGCTTTGCACCGTACCAGTGTCTAGAGGCTAGCCTCTGTTCAGCAGCGTGGTAGCGCTGGTGGAACACGTCCGATGAAATCGGTGTGGATCAAGGAGGAGCATCCGCTTTTTACCACTCCCTTGGTAGATCTCTGGCAGTGCGTGCTAAGTAGCGTTATGCTTTCCTGAAGGTGGAACACGTCTTGTGAACCCTACCAGTAAGTCCGAGTCACTACATTGTAGCGGCAATGTTCTCATAATGTCATTGGCCTAAGCCGGTATGTCTGCTGTTAGCCTCATTATTACTAGAGGGGAAGTATGGTTACAATCAAAATTTCACCAGCTGTAGTCCTCGGAGTGCTAAGTTGAATAGTCTTGGTCCGAGGAAGCTGAGACGTTCCCTTCCTCCTATTCCCAATCGAACTTGCCCCCCCCCCCCTAGCTGTGTGAGTGAGCCCCACTATTAGCACTAGATTTGGATTTGGGTGGAAAATTTAACTGAAAGCGTCACTTCGTTCTTAGTAACTAAGCACGTATGAACATGAAACTCCCAGAATCCTTAGTATCCTGGACGCTGAATCGAATGGTCTTGGTCCGCGGAAGCTGAAGTACAGCATACGACCTTTATTCCCAATCAAACGATTTCAAACACGGTCCGGTACTCAATGGTCTTAGTCTGCGGAGGCTGAAATACAGCATTCGACCTTTATTCCCAATCAAACGATTTCAAACACGGTCCCGTACTCAATGGTCTTGGTCCGCGGAAGCTGAAATACAGCATTCGACCTTTATTCCCAATCAAACGATTTCAAACACAGTCCCGTACTCGATCCACAAATACAGTCACTGACATGCCGGTGAGTGCCAAAAAGACACTGCAGCAATGTACTGCATGTACAGACACTGCAGCAATGTACTGCATGTACACGACGGCATGCAGTGGTAGCACATGTACATTGGCAGTGCGCAAAAACCCACTGCAAAACCCAGAAACTTGAAACCACTGCAAAACACAGAAACTTGAAACCACTGCAAAACACAGAAACTTGAAACCACTGCAAAACACGGAAACTTGAAACCACTGCAAAACACGGAAACTTGAATCAGAAGTCCTAATACGCAACATAGACCCGGTTGGCACCTCTGGTGACATTCGAACCTCAAACTGGGCACGCCTGCTTAAAATTAGAAGTCTCACAGTTATGGATATAATTATATCATATGTTTCAATAGGAAGGATGAGAGATCTGGCATATGGCGTCACTGTTTCCACGAAAACTGGCAAAACAGAAGTATTCCCATGGAAACTCAACAACTTTGAGATGCGAGTATATTTTCTCTGATCGCATTTGCCAAACTTCCTATAAGCTGACGAGTAGATACTTGCTGCCTGTGGTTTGTCTTCCGTCCAGGTGTGCCAGGCCATTCCAGTCTCAAGATGCTTGCCCAATATGAAGATTTCAGCAGGTGTGCAAATTCATGGGATTGGCGAGTGGACATCTTGAAGGAGGAGTACTCCAAGCTGGTCATGATTATTCACCCTGAGGTAGATATTCTTGACCGCCTGTATGAGACTGATATCATTCCGATTCGTCTTCGGGAGCTCATTGAGAGCAATGGAAAGGAGGAGCGCTCCTCTGAAGACCAAGTAAGACATAGGGAAACGTCACTGTCGTTCTCTCACAGATTACGTTGCATTTCTGTTGTCATTCTCATCATCGCCGTTGAAGAAACATGTTTCATCACTTAGATGTTTGCCAGTGTTACACCGAATCCTACCAGACTGGTTCTAATGGATGTGTTGGGGCAGCATACTATGATGGGGGTGCTTCCAGCACTCTGGCTGCGTGTCCTTACCTAGCCATGCCCTTTTGTCTTTGGGCATCCGCTTGCAATTTACGCTCTTCTGAACACTGCTGTGCATGCTGTTTGGGACTGATTCGCCTGCCTGTGCCGGTTCTGGATGTGGCATGCAGTTGGAAGGTTCCCATAACAATGCGCATGCTGGCTCTGTGTCGTACTTATAGCTCAGTGACGGGCATGCAGTGCATATCCAGGTAGTTTAGAGAGCTCAAACTGTTGTTGTCCTTCGGGCCCTTTTGCTCAGCAGTAGTGGTTTGTTTGTTCGGGATGTTGGTATGATAAAGGAAGATTAGAAGAACGAAATTGAAACATAGCATTAGTGCATGTGTTTAAAATAAAAAAAAGATGACTGTTTTTGCAGGACTAATTGATTTGCCAGTCAATTCTCTGCATTGTTGCAGATATGGAGCCAAGACTTTCTTAAAATATTTGCACGTCATACTCTGTACCATCCCCCTCTAGATTCGTCTCAAATCGTTTTCATATATTCCTGACGTACCTGATGATCCAATTCCCAAGATGCGAAGACTCCACTGTTGCCGCATCCACTACTATCCAGTATCCATGCACCCTCACACTACTCTCAGAGGACCTTGGGCAACACTCATCAATTTTAAAGAATAAAATTTTCCAAAATGTTCGGGCAAGACCCATGTTCACGAATGAAGTCGCTCTAGACGAAAAAATATTATTTTAATATGTAACAAATTCAAACACAGCATGTGGCCAAAACGTGTGATGGCTGTGAGAAATATCATGAGAGTGCGTGCTTAAATGTGTTGCATGTGGTAGAATTTCACTTGAATAATTATATAATTGTATGAGGCAATATCTACATGCCGGTAGCATAAGCACTGTCACTAACACTAGCAACAACACCTACTCAAGTACATGTTAGCAAAAACCACTTTGACCAACAGAGAAAGAGAACACGAGAAAGAATGTAAGAAAACCAACACCTTATTGCTGTTGGTGGTGCGGGTGTTGGTGGCGCTGGTGTTGGCGCTGATATTGGTGGTGGTGGTGCTGCTGCTGCTGCTGCTGCTGCTGCTGCTGGTAGTGGTGGTCGTGGTCTTTCTTTCGTGTTATGTCGCTTTGCCACTATGTACCGTCAGCTGTCATGATTCCTGTATTCATCCGTTTCCAGTTCTATTTGTTGAAGTAAATAGTTGACATGTCGTGTGTTTTTAGGACTTATTACATGTCTATTCCTTTTGCCTGTTCTGCAGTTGCACACGTGTGTTCACCTCATTGGCCTCGCTCGTTCCTCATTTCTTTTGTTCATTTGGCGTATGCGAAGACTAGCCAAGCTTGCTTGGTGATGTCAACGCGAACAAGTGTATAATAATAATAATAATCCATCTGTTTTGTGTGTTTACTATGATGATTACGGTAGTGGCGCGATTAGAGCCCTATCTTGTATTGTGCCCCTGTCTCTGAGACCCAATGCCCTGTCGCTGAGACCCAATGAAAAAATAAAACTCTCTATTGAATAGTCCCCCGCCCCCCATTTTTTTGTTTGATGTTGTTTTGCTAATTTTCCTGTCGACGTTATTGCACTGGTGGATTCACGATCACATTCTTCTTGCAGTTTCTGTTGAGTCGCGGCAGTTTATAGTCACCTTTAGACTCTATTCTTCTTCGCCTTCTATGTTTGTGCTCGTAGCAGCATTGAAAATAATAGTACCGTCTCTTGAACAGTGCCCCGTCTCTGATGGACTTTGCAAAAAAATAAGTATCCCAGGGGCATTTTAATTGCATGAGTACGGTATTCAACTGAACGCTTACCACTTGCAACACTTTAGCACGCACTCTCATGATATTTCTCACAGACATCACAGCTTTTTTGGCCAAATGCTGTATTTATAAGATACACTGTCAGCACACAGGCCTGCTTTAGCATTGACATACATGTACATAGAGATACAAGGTTCAAATGGATGCTGCAGACCTATGTCCCTCGACTACCCACCGCCATCTAGGAATCACCCTGGATCCCCCGCCTGTCTTTCCAGACCCACATCAATAGTGTCACCTCAAACTTCCGTCGTCGCGTTGTTCTGCTATCCTACATATCACCCAATCTGACCCCTGCTCTCATTGCCCGCCTCTACAAAGGATACGTCCGTCCCTCCATCGAGTATGCTTCACCTCTGTGGAATAACAAACTGACCGCAGGAAATATTGACACTTTGAAACGATTGCAAGCACGCGTGGCCAGGCAGTATTTACACCGTCGGAAAGTGCCCATTCCTCATGGCATGGAGAACGTGTTTGAAGCTGCTGAGTGGGAAAGTCTTGCGCGGCGGCGGCATATACATTGCCTCAAACTGTTTTACCATTTCACCCGCCAATACCCGGAAACCCTCAATAATTTCAACATACTAGTTCTATCCAAGAGTGCACGACGTCCTCACTTTTACCTCCTGCCCACTCACACTGGTCCCTGGTTCCGATCCACTCTACTACATTCCATGATCGCCACGTGGAACTCCCTGCCTACCGAGATTAGGATATCTGAAACCCGTGGTGTATTTACCCGGCACGTTAAGTCCCATTTCCACAGGTATAGATTCCATCCTCGAGGTTTTCTCACTTCCTGATTACCCCCCTTCTTTACCAGTACCCTTTTCGCTTGCTTTTACTCAGACTTCTTAATTAACCTCTTCACATTAATCTTTTAAGTTTTGCTTATGGTGTTTGTACTGAGTGCGCAGCTTACTCTATTTATTGCGTTGATTACATTTTTATCTCCACGGAAGCTTTTTTTTTATCTTAATATTTTCTACCTTTTAAGAATTGCACCCACAAGCGGAAAACCCGTCAGAGATCAAATTCCATTACACAGTGTTTCACCGTTCAAGCAACGGATCATCAGATGGATGATCAAACAAAGTATGATACACTGGTTATATATTCAGAAGGTGTGAACTCCGTCACTATGGAGTGTGAAAATTATCATTATGTCGGGTCCCGGATGTGACAAGTCCATTTTTCATGATGCATTGTACAGAGTGCCTAGGTGCTAGATGAGGGTGATGATATTGCGGGGTGTGACCAGCCCATTTTCATGATGCATTGCACAGAGTGCCTAGAGAAAGGTGATAGCGCAGAGTGGTGCCATGCCAGGTAACAGATATAGAGGCGCTACCAAGGCCATAGAATAATCACTGCCCTAAGAGCAGCAAGGGCTGCCCTAAGGGCAGCAAGGTGCACAAATTATTCAACAGGAACACTGTGAAGATCGCATATAGCTGCATGCCGAATATTGCCCGACTCATTAAGGCCCACAACAAGAGAGTGTTGCACCCACCAACACCGGACAAGGACTGCAACTGCAGGATCAAGAACTCGTGTCCACTCAAAGGAAAGTGCCAGGCGGACAACGTCATCTACCAGGCCATGGTGTCGGACGACACCCGTAACGACAAGGTCTATACCGGCATGTCTGCGCCGCCTTTCAAAGCTCGCTACTCCAACCATTTGACTACGCTCAGGCATGACCGCTATGAGAATTCCACCGAGTTGTCAAAGCATGTTTGGTCGATGAAGCGGGACAACAGACAGTACGTCATTGACTGGAAGATCCGCGACAGGGCCACCTCGTTCGATAACACGTCCAAGAGATGTGGCCTCTGCACTACCGAGAAGTATCACATCCTCGAAACCGACGCCCGCACTAGGCTAAACAAGCGAAATGAGATTGTGTCAAAATGCAGGCACGAAAGCAAGTATGTCCTATCAAATTTTGTGCCCATCACATAAGGACAGTGATTATTCTATGGCCTTGGTAGCGCCTCTATATCTGTTACCTGGCATGGCACCACTCTGCGCTATCACCTTTCCCTAGGCACTCTGTGCAATGCATCATGAAAATGGGCTGGTCACACCCCGCAATATCATCACCCTCATCTAGCACCTAGGCACTCTGTACAATGCATCATGAAAAATGGACTTGTCACATCCGGGACCCGACATAATGATAATTTTCACACTCCATAGTGACGGAGTTCACACCTTCTGAGTATATAACCAGTGTATCATACTTTGTTTGATTATCCATCTGATGATCCGTTGCTTGAACGGTGAAACACTGTGTAATGGAATTTGATCTCTGACGGTTTTTCCGCTTGTGTGTGATGAAGCTCTGCCTCGCTTGCATTGAGCACTCTCCGCAGTTTGAGACCATTCCCTTGTGTAAGAATTGCACCCTATTGTACACGCATTATACACGTATATTTATTCTCGGAGACCCCCTTGATTTAGGCTTCGGCCTTTGGGGAATCCCTAAAATAATAATACTAATAATAAATAGAAGCCTGACTTGAATAGAAGCCTAGCGCTGACATCGGCTTCTACAGCCGCTGAATAAGCACGGCTTTAGTACGCGACATTACGGTATATAAGCTTTGTTTAGTCTAGAGCGACTTCATTCCTGAACATGGGACTTTCTTGAATTTTTGGATAATTTTTAATTGAAGTTGGCGTATAGCCATTTGTCACTCTCTTAGGGGCCGTCCGGGGTTACCGATTGTTTTTACAAAACAAAACGTTTTAGTATTTTCTCAGCCCCCACCCACCCACCCATCTTTTCTGCAGGTAAAACGAATTCCAATAAAATATTGATGTCAATTTTCGACACACAAAAGTAACCGGACATTCTCCATCTGCATTCAATAATTATTATCAAAACGAAACTCCATCAAACCCACCCACCCCCAAACGAAAACTTTTCGTTTTGAAAATATTATTGGTAACCTTGGACGGCCCCTTATTATTGACCCCCACAGAAACTTGTGATCTCTAAGCGGTCAAATATCAGCATATATTGACCGCTTATATTGACCACTTATTATTGACCACTTGCACTTAGCCCGAGGACTTAGAACTTTTTCCTCAACTGAGAAAAAATTCAGAAATGAAAGAAGAAAAATCTTAAGCCAAATGCTGGGACTTGAACCCAAACTGTCAGATTCTCAGTCAAAGAACTTAGGGAACATACTACAAGTGACAACTGAAAACTTTGGTTTACAGAGAAGTAATGTCCAATGTAAACGGCATAATTATTATGTACATACTATGTATGTACTATTGTATTCCTTTCTTCCTATAAACAAAGCTAAAAACAGTTTAGGTATGCTATGTCGTGATAAATCTATTATTGCCCTCATAATCGGTCAATATATGAAATATATTGACCTCTTTAATCGTGCAATAATAGATACATATAGCCCAGAGACCGTCAGGAGTGTTTTACGGGTAACATACACCATGGCTGGTTAAAATCGCCCGCATCACATGCTTATTGGCACTATGTCATCGTGATTGTGGAATAATAATAATAATAATATATATGGATACCGTATGATCCAGTTTAGGTCTGCACTACAGTGATCCTTAGAGAGGGAGAACAGAGGTGTTGGGGTAGGGGGAGAAAGAGAGGGACAGACAACGGCAGAGAGAGAGAGAGAGAGAGAGAGAGAGAGAGAGAGAGAAGAGAGAGAGAGAGAGAGAGAGAGAGAGAGAGAGAGAGAGAGAGAGAGAGAGAGAGAGAGAGAGAGAGAGAGAGAGAGAGAGAGAGAGAGAGAGAGAGAGAGAGAGAGAGAGAGGGGGGGGGGGGAGAGAGAGAAGGAGTGATAATACAGAGAATTCATCCTTGTCCGTTTTGCTTGATTGAACCCTAGGCCAAACGCCTGCTGCGTGAACTGCCTCGTCTCGGACCCCAAGCTTTCAATCAGTTCTACCGAGCAGTGAAGAGTTCCACCCTGGATGCTCATAAGCATGCCGCAAAGTTCCTGGAGAACAAACTGCAAATAAAAGGTGGGTACTTGCTACTTGTTAGTGTATAATACTTCATGCTCTACTGGTGTTGCACTGGGAGGTATTGTGATGTCATAAAGTCCCATGAACGTCAACTTATTTTTTTATTACGTGATTAAAGATGTTTTTGTGTTGTTACAATCACATTCTACATATAATTATATGGCATGTGAGTCGAGTACACTAGATCTGTAACTGAATTCGGGGTGGAAGTTCCATGTCAACGTCCGGTATTGGCAGTGGAAGTTTGTAAAATAATATAACATTTGACTAAACAGGCACATACACCGTCAAGCTAATATTCGTCTGTGTCTGGTCATTCGCGATGCACACAAGCAGCATGTCTGCTCTTTCTTACTGTTTGTTCTAGCCGACCGAATGGCCGCAGAGAAACGGCAAGGGGCTGGTTTGAGGGAGCGCAAATATCGTTCCCACTATCAACCTGTCAGACGTGCAGCGCCGTCTCAAGCCGCCCAGTCCAGTACCAAGTCTATGACTGAAGTACACAATGGTATGACATTACTCTCAAACCTGCATAATCCTACAGAGGGTGTAGCCCGCGCACACATGCACAAATATGCCCCCCCCCCCCACACACACACATACACATAAACTCACGCACACGCACACACACACACACACACACACACACACACACACACACACACACACACACACACACACACACACACACACACACATACACACACATCAGTCTAGGCTTGGGAGAACTTAGCGTTCTGCAGCATTGTAATGGAGAATTTTAAGAAGGTCTATATGCTTGCAGCCATGGGGTGCACTTCTCATGAAAATGATACAGTACAGAAGTTCTGCCTATCCAGATCAACTTGAGTTACTCACTCTGCGCAGGGGTATGGGGAGGGGAGAGGAGGAGACGTCTTTGTCTAATGGACACAGTGAGCTTTGCGAAGTCAATTTTCGATATTGTCCTGGTGGTGATACTGAAGGTCCACTTCCGCTAGTACAATGGAATCCTGGTGTAACTTACCCAGCTCAGTGCCGTACGGGGAAACTGTCCTTTGTAGTCATGGTAGACCCGAGTCACAAGCATTGAACACGGCTCATACATGCATTACTTAATGACAGTATACATGTCAAGCAGCTCAAAATCGATTGTGGGTATTGAGCACGACTGCACAGCTGTCTGCGACATGGAATGAATTCTGCAGGATAGTGGTTGAGCTGTTGGTTACAGATAAACTCACACCTCTGTTCCGGCCAGCTTCATGCTGGCCAGCGATCAGGCTGGCTTCTTGACAGCCACTTTTCAAGTAGATTTACCCAAGAAACAATGACACGTATGTGATAACTGGGGCTGGGTCTTTGTTCAGTCTTCAATACAGCACATCCCATGTTGGAAGTTTGTTTCACCTGATATAGACATTCATGCTCAGTGGGTTTTGTAACTTGCTTCTTCCTTTTTATCTGTTGGATGTACTGTGATTGGTCTTGTTCTATGCAAGATATGGTGGTCGAGAAGCCCATAATGCGTCCAACAGCTTGCCCAAATCCATCAGCTCATGCGGATCCAGTAACACGAGAGTTTCACAGAACTCTAACAGGTAAGTGGCTGTCCACAAAGGCAGGCTCATTGACCCAACTCTCGAGCTAATTCTCCCAGTCCTCGCACCGCATTTCCCATGCACACTATTCACAGTTGTGTGTTTGTGTGTACCTGAGGAGTTGATGGATCCATTATTCAGCGATGGTGTACTTTTATCACATATGCCATAGTTCAATCCATCGTCATCATATTGTCCATTTTTCCAGATCCATCTGCAAGTCAACATGGCCTGCTGGATGCATCTGGGGCTGGAGATGGAGCACATCGTTGGCCGGGGCCAGCAAGGGAAAGTTTCCAACGAGCTCCAAGGGATCAATATCTGGAAAAGCAAATGCCACGCACAACACACCCAGCAAGTTCAGCAGACTCGTCTGGTCAAAGTGACTGGGGTAGAGATGAGGAAAAGAGGAGACAAAACCAAGACCGCCTTGGCCAGTTAGGTTCTGTGAACCGCAAGACAAAAAGGAACGCAGGCCCCAGTTCAACCAATGTGGCTACAGACAGCTCACAAGCAAAGCCCAGTCCCGCAAAGCCACCAAACAATGCTCAGGGCCAGTCCACTGGGCAACCAGGCGAGGAGGCGATCAGTGAACGAGGCAAAGCGAAGCCTCAATCAGGTAAGCACTCCATGGACACTAAAACAGTGTGTTGCATGCTCTCAGTTTGTCTTCTTCTTTCTTGTTCTTTTTTTTACCTTTTACAAAAAAAGCGCAGACCCTCACACATTAATTTTTAGAATGAAGTCCATCTCGTCGTCCAGGATACGACCAGTTTCTCACGCTCTCATCAAGAGCCTTATGAGAGTTTAAAGCCCACTCAACAGATGCGTACAGCTGCATGTACGCGTTATCGCACGGTACAGATCACAAACCCTGCAGAAAATGTACCGCGTACAACTAAATGCAATGCATCTCGGAATTGTGTATGGTAATTGAATACCGTATGCTAAAACATTGCAGGAGGCATTTATTTATTTTTATTTATTTTATTCCAAGCAATACATGGCTGGGGTAGCCAATGACCACTTTGTGTGGTGATTGCAGGGTTTTTATAGCCAACCACGGCATAGTATGCAACGAGCTTAAAAGCTGCGTGTATTTCAGACGGTAGTGTATTTACAAGGCTGGAAGCCTCTTTCGTGATTATCACTGCTCATTTTTGAGACAGTCAATATTCTCTTCAGATTTATATTGTCTGCCTGGCTGTCTCTCTGTCTCTGTCCCTGTCCCTGTCTCTCTCTCTCTCTCTCTCTCTCTCTCTCTCTCTCTCTCTCTCTTCTCTCTCTCTCTCTCTCTCTCTCTCTCTCTCTCTCTCTCTCTCTCTCTCTCTCTCTCTCTCTCTCTCTCTCTCTCTCTCTCTCTCTCTCTCTCTCTCTCTCTCTCTCTCTCTCTCTCTCTCTCCCCCCCCCCCCCCTCTCTCCCATACCCAGTTCGCAAGGCTGGGCGGGGTTGTGAACAGGCTTTCATTTCATCTTTTCTTATTATTTCTGCTTTTCATCTCATTACAAAAATCCTGCGCATTTTTTCTCCATCTGCGCATAAAATCTAGACTGACAACCTGCTTGCTAAATCATGCACCTGCTTTCAGGCGTGAAAACCTTGTTGTAGAGGTCTCAGTCCTCATTTGTTAGACTTACCTGTCTTTATAAATGTAACTTACTCTCTCTCTCTCTCTCTCTCTCTCTCTCTCTCTCTCTGTCTCTCTCTCTCTCTCTCTCTCTCTCTCTCTCTCTCTCTCTCTCTCTCTCTCTCTCTCTGTCTGTCTCTCTCTCTCTCCCTTTATTGTTTCTTCCTTTCTCTCTTTCTCACTGTGGACAAAATGGAAGGAGTGTGTACTGTAACTCTGAGCTTCGTACCAAAGGACGATCATCAAACATCTCATTCTTGGTCTCTCTGTATCTCCCTTTCCTGTCGTGTAGTGAATATAAAACCTTTCTGCATGTCCTTGACCACTTTGTGGTGAGTCTGGTCTACTCACCTCCCACCGCTTTGATCCTTCATCTTTGAGGGTGTGGTGTTCCTGCGGATGCGGAGAACTCTATCTGACTGAGTCTCAAGGGAGCCGTGCATTTTTTTCCGTTTCGATGTTTAGGCTGCCAACCGCAGACCAACAGAGAGGACTCTTCAACAACTGCAGCCATGTCCTCAGTTGCAAATGCTGGTGATACGGCTGCTGGCAGTGGGAGTACTGGTAGCACAGCTGCAGCTGTGATTTCGGCCATTGCTCGTCCTCATGATGATACCGCACCCCGAGAACGGTTCTTGGACGTTCAGCAGCAAAACACCGGCTTAAATCCTGCGTCGGCTGAACACCGCAACAATAAAAGTCCAAGGATGATGTCACCTAATGAGCCTGCGAATAGCCCAGCACCCACAGGTAAGCCATTGCCCTGCGTGTTGCCAACAGACTGTTATGCCCTGGAGAAGTGGTGTGAATGGTGAAAAGAATGGTGTCAGAGCTCTACAAGAATCTGAAACCTCACCCCTGGAAATAAAAATCTAACTTGATGAAGTAAGATTAGCCAAGGGTAAACCAATATAGAACTAGAGAGTGTTTTGAGCCACTCTAGGCCTGCTCTGTAGGGGAAGTTCCAGTATCAACAGCTTTGAGAAATTCCAGACTGGCAACCTGGTGAAAATTGTCCTATTTTTGGCGAGTTTTGACCGATCCCAGAAATACTGGCCAGGTTGCCCATGTTTCACCTGCTTGCACATGCTGATGTCTGACTGCAGTCCTGTGCAGGACCGTGAACACCAGATAGGCTAGTACAATGATGCTGATTGAAGCATGTATACATGTTACTCAGGCTTTCAGTGGACTACTGTTCGTATTATTATGGTGCTCACTCCCCTATCTAGGCATAGGGTCCAGTGCAAAGAACAGTGAGCAGCAGATGGACATCAAGGGAACATTGTTTCTCCGCAAGGATTCGCTAGAGGAGGACGAGGAAGCAGCTTCTCAACTTGATCTAATCTTGAGTGAGGACTTTAGAGAGCTCCTGTCAATGCCTGAAGACTTTGTCACCAGTGATGCTGAGATACAGAGTTTGCAGAAAGGTAGGTCAAGGGACTTCTCAGCCTACAACCGTTAACTGTTTTGTAGAATTACACCAACATTCGCTGTATTCGCTCTCACTTATTTTTACTGCACTCAGCCATGATGACTTCTGCATGAACACTCGCTTAATTTTAGTTTTTGGTGTGGATGATGAACAGAAGTGACTTACTTCAAGTAGAGTTATGCGTAAGCACCAGTAATTCTCATGGACTTAGTATACAGAACCTTTTTTTAACATGATGTATCAGTTTTGAACTATTTTGGATGTTCAATGCGTACAGAAAGTCACCAAACGGATGCGTTTGCAATCATGAATGCTAGGATGGTTGATGACAGCAGTAAAGCTAGGGTGATCACGGCTGTGCAAGAGGTGTTAGGCAAGGCCAATGTCAAGGTGTACCCGTACTACTATGCAGATGATGACCGCAGTCGACCTTCGCAGGATGCCAATGATGGTAATGCACAAGGACTGGGGGATCGCTTGGGACAAGGTAAAGTACTATGTTCTACCTGCTCTTACCCGGCCTTTGCTGGACCAGACTGTGTGATTGAAAAGAGAGAGAGGCAAACAAGCGCTATCAAATCAAGGGCATTGTACATTGTATGTTGCGCACAAATGCTTTCCCGTTGATTTCGAATATCTGGATGGATAGCTGACCTTCTCTTTCTCTCCTTCTCTCCCTCTCTCTTTCTCTCCCTCTCTCTCTCTCTCTCTCTCTCTCTCTCTCTCTCTCTCTCTCTCTCTCTCTCTCTCTCTCTCTATCTCTATCTCTATCTCTCTCTCTCTCTCCTTCTCTCCCTCTCTCCTTCTCTCTCTCTCTCCTTCTCTCTCTCTCTCTCTCTCTCTCTCTCTCTCTCTCTCTCTCTCTCTCCCCCTCCCTTCAACTGCAGCTCTCTCTTTCTCCCTATTCATCATCTCCGTAAGTATCTATCTTTATCTCTATCTCTATCTGTTTCTCTATTCTGTCATGTTGTAGAGCTCTCAACAAGCACCAAAGCATTGCTGCGATCTGTGAGCGGGACCATCTATGTTGCCATGCAGCTTCTTTGCACTCAAGAGCTGACCATTCTTCAATTGAAAGGCTGTCTTCAGCTGTGCGGATTTTTGGTGCAGAATTTCGAGCTGAAACAGAAGTCAGCCACATTGTACTCAAGCGACTCATGTTTTAGTGACAAACTTCAGCGTAAGTCAGTGATCTTCATTGGTCCAGGTAGTATGTGTATACAATACATGCAGCAATTTTCGCTGTACTGGCGGATTTCCTTGCTGTGAACTGTATTTTCTGTGGGCTTTTTGTGAAAAGCCACACGGCTCCTGCGCTGCATTGCCCTGGAGCATTGTGTGATGGAGCGACTGTACATGCATTTTATTCAGGTCGGTCTGGATTATAGACCGGTGTCTGTACAGAAGTAGATTGTTGTAAAGTTACAATCACTGATTACTAAAGTGATATTCGATAGATCCATCACGGTTACTCGCAACCCTAGGGTTGAATAGCTGTCTTATGTGAAGTTTGAGTGCAATGTAGAGGGATTGCTCCGCTTTTCGGAAGATTTTTGTTGTGCAGCAATAAACCTGCAGAATGAGCGCAAGCCGCTTGGGAACTGAATAGATTACCTGTCCGTGCTATTCTGTGTTGCCTTCACAGAATGCCGGCAGACTTCATTGTGCACTAAAATCAACATGCATCGTAATAATCCTGCATTTGCCGAAGTCAAGGCAAGAATGATGCTGGCACTGAACATGGCATGTGGCCGCAGAAAGGTGAATGTACTGTCCAGCAACCGGTGCCCGATTTTGTCCGATCAAGAATCGTCATCAAGAAAGGCAACAATGGCGCCAGTCCCATCAGCGGACGTGTTTGGATGGCACATGTCTGTCGATGTGCCGGCACCAGCAATGTCGCATCCACTTCCAACGCCAGTATCAACAGCACATCGCTCCTCAGTTCCACCTGAACAAATCTATAATGCAGGTGTGGCAGCATCAGCAGCAGAAGCAGCACCAGCAATGGCAGCGGCAATGGTGGCAGAGGACGCTGGAAGTGTTGACGCTTGGCATCTCTCTTCGTCGTCCTTTGTGTCTGTGACTTCGACTGAAGGAAGCACGCCACTGCAACTTGAAAGTCATATGCGAGAAGGTAATGACGATTCAATGCAGCACTTTGCCTGCATGTGTGTGTTTATATGTGTACGGGATTTACGTGTGCGTGTGTATGTGTATGTGTGTTTGGCTGCATGCGCACGTGCATGTGTGTATATGTATGTATATAATAATATTATATACATACATACACACACATGCACGTGCGCATGTAGCCAAACATTATTATGTGTGCATGTGCGTGTGTGTGTGTGTGTGTGTGTGTGTGTGTGTGTGTGTGTGTGTGTGTGTGTGTGTGTGTGTGTGTGTGTGAACCAACCTGTCGGAAGGCTACCTTCTTGCCAAAGCATTTGGAAGTCGGACTAGTTTCGGCTCCACAATCCAGTGTGTCGTTACTATAATAGCTTTCATGGCTGAGATTGTTGGTATGTCTGTTGGCTCTGGGTTCCCAGTATTCAGTAGCCGAGGCTGGTTGGTAAAGTAACTCCAATTTCACTTCAAGGTACCAGTGCATCTAGTGTCTGCTTCTATCAAAGCAGCGTGCTGTCTATACTGGTTACCCCAGCAAGTGTAGGGTGTGCATAGGTAACTGTCTTGGCCGTTTTATGCCGATGTACTCTGTGTGGTGTAGACCAGGTGTGCATTGGTGGTCGATTCACATGGCTTCGCCAGTTGTGTGGATTAGACAGTTATCTGGCGCAAGTCTTGATCTGTCTCATTCAGATCTTGTTCGCTATCGTTGCTATAAGAGAAAATCTGTGGATGCACATCCAGTGCGTTTGCAGATTTGCGTGCTTCTCTTGCGACGGGCGTATACATGGTACATGGTACATGGTGTGTGTGTGTTTGTGTGTGTGTGTGTGTGTGTGTGTGTGTGTGTGTGTGTGTGTTTGTGTGTGTGTCTACTTCCCTCCCCATCCCATAAACACCATTTGACCATTTGACGCCCAACGCCGGAGGCGATGATAGCGATGCTACAGTAGAAGCCATAGCAACTTGTGGTGGGGTTGCACCATTCAACAGCTTGCAAGGCTGAAGAATTGACCGCCACTATTCAGCCTGGTCTACACCACACAGCTATGGGTCCAGGTGTGTGTGTGTGTGTGTGTGTGTGTGTGTGTGTGTGTGTGTGTGTGTGTGTGTGTGTGTGTGTGTGTGTGTGTCTGTCTGTCTGTCTGTCTGTCTGTGTCTGTGTGTGTGTGTCTGTGTGTCTGTGTGTCTGTGTGTGTATTCCCGACGATTATGGTCGCATACGTCTTTCTTCTCTTTCTCGGACTCTTCCTGACTTTTCTTTCAATCTCCTGGGTGGTTACCAACAGCCAGTGTATGCCGGAGTATGTGGTGTGGTGTGTGTGTGTAGAAAAAATGGAAAAATGAAAAATAGGGATTCACTGGCCAGAAAAAAAGTCACTTCAATCAGCTGTGTGGTGGATGCCAGGCTAAAAATAGTGGCGGTCAATTCATCAGCTTTGCAAGCTGTGGAATGGTGTAATCCCAGCACAAGTTGCAATGCCTAACATAGCTGTTCGCTATCATCTCTTCCGCGATGGGCATGTCTGAGGTCTGAGGTGTGTGTGTGTGTGTGTGTGTGTGTGTCTGTGTGTCTGTGTGAATGTGTATGTTTCTTGGTATGTCTGCATATGTATCTACATGATTGTATGTGTGCGAGGACGTATGTGCTTGAGTGTTGGACAATTCCTTCTCCACGTTCTTAAAAGTTGGTCTCAAAGCAGATTGAAGACAAAACTTCAGATCCTCTTCCCCAGCTCTGGAGAGTCACCAAGGATACAGTGTTTATTCAGTACTCGATGTGCAGAGCATAGCACAGACAATATGATCTCCTGGATTTGGAGACGAGGAGAAGGTTGAGATTCTGTCGTTCGTAGAGATTTGGCGGGAAGATTTGGGGAAGAGTTTTTTTAAAGTTCTTGACCCTCCCTGTGCGTGAACCCGTGCAATTTTTTTAAGTGGGTTTTAAACCTCAATTCGGCCTAAGTTGGGCTTTCAAAAGGAAGCTGGGCTATTATGGCTGAATGGACTGCACATGCCTGCATAATAGAATACTTTCTTTTTCATGTACCTTCTAATGTTCCAGATGAGATACTTGAATACACTGATGGCAGCATGTCCACTATAAGCAGTGAAATGATGGACGCAGAGAACTCGTTCTCTGCTGATTTGCCATCCCGCAGCGCCTTTGCAAGTGAACGGGTCATCACAAGTTCTCGGCGCAGATCACGGTCATTAATTTTGCAGAGTGTCAGCAGCCCTGACAGGAGACCGGGTCAGTCTGTGTCGGACAGTGAGTGGGATAGTCCGGACAGAGCAGAGAGCACCGACTGGACGTATATCCGGGACCAGCCGCAGCGACCACCCTTGCCAACTTCACCATCTGTGCCATACTCCCGTTCTACCAGTTACAGCATGGCCGTGTCCAGTGCAGCTTGCAATCATGAAGACAGCTTTGTGGAGAGTACCTACTCTTCTTCTTCCGACAGCAGCGTCCCAGTTGCAACGGAGCAGGTGAGGCACACATGATTGTGTTTGGGGGGGGGGGGGGGGGTACAGCCTAAAACATCAATGTTATGTTGTTGTTGTTGTTGATTTTTATTTTACTTCGCAAGGCCAAACAGGCAATGGTGCCCAATTCTATGGAAGCGAATTTCAAAAGGGAGAGCTACGGGGGGAGAGAGAGAGAGAGACAGAGAGAGAGACAGAGAGAGAGAGAGAGAGAGAGAGAGAGAGAGAGAGAGAGAGAGAGAGAGAGAGACACAGAGAGACACAGAGAGACAGAGAGAGACAGAGAGAGAGACAGGGAGACAGAGAGAGACAGAGAGAGAGAGAGGGAGGGAGGAAGGGAGATGATAAGCAATTTTGCAGCGTCAACAGAGCGATTTTGCAGTGTCAATAGAGCGATTTTGAAGCGTCACCAGAGGGAACACAAAGAGTTCATAGGCGCACAAGCACGCAGAGAAGAGTAAATGACGTGGTGTGTGAACGGGAAAAGCCAGACAGAGCATTCATTGCAAGGTGTAGGGGATGGAGGCAAGCTTAAATTGCTGGGCAGCCTTGATCTCCCTTACACTCCTTGGGAGAGCGTTCCAGGCCAAGGCTGCCTGAAAGGCCAGGCGAGATCTGCCGGCTTCTGACTGTGCCGAGGAGACAGTGAGGCCCCTGGAAACCTGGTGCCGGGTGGTGCTGCCAGCTGATGGTAAGAATAGGTCCTGGAGGACACTGCTGGCTTTCCCAGGCAATGTTACTAGTGGTCTTCGGGACGCTGTGTCAAATGGTGGTCGTCTGAGGAAGCTGTGCCCCTCTGGCCGTCCATTAGTCACAATTGAATTCATTAACCCCAGCGCTACCTTAGAGTGAACCGTAATAAATAGGGCCACGATGGATGAATGAGTTGCCACAACTTTCTCAGACCAGCACCATCCGATTCAGCGCCCACATGACTCTAGGTTCTGAAATTTTCATCTTCGCCCAATGATGCTCAGGCGCGTGCTCGGCGATGGGCACGGGGGGCACGTGCACCCCCCAAACATTTTCAATCTGGGTAATTGCAATTGAAATGTATGCAAATATGCTCTAAAATTCAAGAAAGGTTGCAAACAAATTGCAGAAAATTGCCGGGGGGCTCCCCTCGGCTCCCGTGCACCCCCCTAGTTGGGGGGCCGAGCACGCCCCTGATGCTTGTAGTGAAGTGTTACTATTATTGGACATTATCATTTTGGGCGGGGGGGGGGGGACTTTGTCTGCTGAGAACTTCATTCACCCACCCTTTTTCATATCAGTCTTGCTGCTCTTCCATTCTCCGCCCAGGCGTCTGAAAGTGACGAACTACACTTCAACAGCACATCCCGTTCCATAAAGGCGGTTTTGCAGAAATCCGCCTCGCCATGTGTCGATGAATCGCGTTCCACTGAGATGGAAGTCACCACTTCCAAAGTAGCTACTGCCAGCCAGGATCATGACCGTTCAGGCGTAAGGACGACTGTGTTTAGCAGCACATCGCATGTCCATGTTGAAGTCAAGCGTCCCACGGACGAGGCAGGAAGACACAATGTATCTGCAGGCGATGCCACTGCGAGCACTGCAATTGGAGCGACGTCTACTGATGCAGGAATGATTGACGAAACTGGGGGGAAGGCCGCAGCTGTAGCCAGTGCAACCAATGCCGTTGCGTGTGCTGCTGATGCCAATGTATCGTATACCCCCGAGTCACCTACAGCTGTCAGAGGCCAAGGCCAGCAGCCATCACTATCAATGCAGTGCACAGAAACCACACCAACAACGCCCAACGGCCGGTCGATTTCAAGACACTTTCATGGCTGGGTAAGGATCGATGTGGAACACATTTTTTAGTTTTACAATTATTATTATTATTATTATTACTTGGTCCGCCCAGTTAAAATTGCCGCTTATCTTCACACTTGTCTCAGGAAAGAAATACGAATATTTGAAGCAAGCCACGATCACAAAGCACTAATTACATGATTATTTACAGTAACCAACTCAGTCGAAAATTCAAGCAAGTTACACATCCTCCTCGCCACTATCGTCGCTGGAGGAAGAGCTCAAAACGTACGATCCGGACAGCTGCTGCACGGGTCGTTTCATAGCTTGTTCCACTTCTCCTCGTCTCGAATCACGCTCAAAGGCAGTGCGTGCCTGTCACCTTCCCATCAGAAGCTGAGTGAGACTGCAGGCATGTTGACTGTAAGTGTTATCCCCGTTCGTCGCAATAATGCGACTTTGTTTGAGACAAAAAGGCACCGCCATATCAGTGTCCTTTTTTTCAAATCGCCTCTTGCGCTTGTCGTACTTGCTGATCAGCACCCGTACCCACGCGAGCCGCTGGTGCTTGTACATGCAGCGCAGTGATAGCTTCCGCTTGATGTAGCACCTGTGCGTACTGCACCTACAACGCCGTGCACCAGGCTTTTCGGCTAGTTTCCTGAAAGTCCTTTGCACGAGTGTTTCTCTCAGGACTTGGTGTTTCCTTTGATTAGCTCCTTTGCCCTGTCCTCTGTGAGCTTCAAAGTGTGTCCGCCGGATTGGTCTCACTTACTGGAGACATCGACATGAGCTGCAGTTTCTTCGTCAGCGATTTGCTGGTGATAGCCCTTCACTAGGCGCTGTACTGTGCAAGCACTGACATTCAAGCTCGCGAAGCGCTTTTTCAGCTTTTCTATACCTCCCCGGGGTAAACAATCCTTGCCATCAGACAGCTGGAAGTAGACAGAAACTGTATTCTCCATCGCTCTGAAATGCGAACATCCTGACCTATTTTACGGACTCGAGCGGAGGTTGCAGTGTTTTCTTGCGCTGACGGAAGTGTTCGTCGGCGGCAGCTCCGTCAAAAAGACTCAAACGAACCGATCGCAACTTCTGTGATGGTTTGTGCCGCCATGTCGTCGGATGCAATGGTCAATGGTCATGTTCGGATGGTGAATCGGTGGTTCCATGCCGTGTGGCACAGGCAGAACAACAAAAAACCAAGTGAGAAGATAAGCGCCAATTTTAACTGGGCGGACCAAGTATTTTAATAACGAAGGTACGTGTTGGGTCGTAAGTATCCACGCAAACATACATCCAGTCAAAATAAGGCACTTGTCAAAGTATCCGAACGTTTTCGGTCCCTTCTCATCAAGGATTATACAGGGAATGGCTCAAGTTGGAAAGACTAAAACTTATAATAGCGTAAAGATATGAGATAACAACACTCGTGACAAGGTGGAAAATTATCAAGTTCAGCACGGCACAAAACTCGAAGGAAATAATAATAGTGACAAGAACATAGTGAGCAAATTAAGTTACATTGTTAAAGGGGAAGTTAAGGCAAAAATTAAAATTTCGCCAGTTGTAGTCTTCGGGGTGCTGAGTCGAATGGTCGTGGTCCGAGGAAGCTGAGACGCTCCCTTCCTACTTGAATCCCAATCGAACTCGCGCACTTCCACCGAAACTGGGTGACTGCGCCCTACTAGATGGGGATTTGTATGCAAAATGTCACTAAAAGCGCCATTTCGTTCTTATAAAAGCACGGATGACCGCGATTGGCCCATATGTTGTAGTCTTTTGGACGCTGAGTCGACTGGTTTTGGTCCGAAAAGGCTGCGATGCGGCGTTCCTCCTTTATTCCCAATCGAACATGGTTGAAGAAGTGGTCACGTGCTCCTGCGTACACCAGTCACCTGGTCACCGTGCCTGCAGGGTACAACTTACTAGCCTGTTGGACCTTTTTTGGGTGCAGTCCTGTCACTCGAGTTGAACTCGAGTTGAACCTTGGTGTGAAAGTTGTCACCTGCTGGCGTGGTGACCAGGTGATTTGGGCAACCAGGACCACGTGACCGCTTCTTCAACCATGTTCGATTGGGAATAAAGGAGGAACGCTGCATCGCAGCCTTTTCGGACCAAAACCAGTCGACTCAGCGTCCAAAAGACTACAACATATGGGCCAATCGCGGTCATCCGTGTTTTTATAAGAACGAAATGGCGCTTTTAGTGACATTTTGCATACAAATCCCCATCTAGTAGGGCGCAGTCACCCAGTTTGGGTGGAAGTGCGCGAGTTCGATTGGGATTCAAGTAGGAAGGGAGCGTCTCAGCTTCCTCGGACCAAGACCATTCGACTCAGCACCCCGAAGACTACAACTGGTGAAATTTTATTTTTTGCCTTAACTTCCCCTTTAACACCTCGACGAGGAGTAACACCAAACAATTGTAGCGACAACACATTTCCTTTCTGTACGCAAAGTTCAGGATCTAACTTACGGATATACAAAGCTTCTAACACAGCCAGATGCAACGCACATCTACCACGTGACAATATTGAGAACACATTATCACTGTACAACTCACGACAATTGGTACGGGCTGACAGATGTTGCTTGATGGACGAAGTGCGATTCTTAGCTCCGTTGGGTGTTGTCTCCTCCAATGTCCCGTCATCTCGCCTCTTCGCGCCATCACCACTATCCGTCTCTTTGCTTTTCCGCGGCCTTCCACGTTTTCTGACACTAGCCGTTGTGTGCGCGATGCCCAGTGTCCTTTCAGCTACGTCTCCTCCATTGCGGATTTCTATTGATCTTCTTACTCCAACTTGTCCGGTGTTCAATATTGAGGTTCGTTTTCGCGGTCTACCACGTTTTCGAATATTGACTGTTGTTGTCACTTCTGTTGTCGTTGTACGTGCGTCCTCACCAGTCCGTATTTTTACTTGGCTTCGCGTAACCCTTCCCGACGCAGACAGATCCTTTGTCAATTTCGGTGGTTTACGTGTCGGTCTTTCACCATCTTTCACGCTGTTCTCAGCTGGACCCTGCCCTACACACGCGGAGGAGGACGGGCATGCAGTCACATCTTCACAGGAAGAGGAAGATCCACCGATGGACTGGACAGCACATTTTGGAGGACGACCACAGCGAGGACGACACTCACGCGCATCAAGCGGAACAAAACGTAACGGCACATGTTGACAAATGCGCACGCCCAGGTGCTGAAGGGTTCTACCTACATACCGATCTTCACATTGTCGGCATTGAAAGAAATAGATAAGGTTACTTTTACTAAGGGTAGGTAGAACATCCTTCTTCACACTGAACGCACGCACTGTCCCAATTATGACGTACAGCTTGACGCACGGATAAGATGGACATACGATACCACGAACATCCTTCTCCACGCGCGCAGAACCAGCGCCAACCCAGGGTAAACGGAGCACCACTGGGCAAAGGTCAGGTCCAAATTGGATCGGCTTGTCTGTCGCCGGTTTTTCGTTGATTAGCTTGGCCAGAAATTCCTTTGGATAGCCGTTGTTCGTAAATATTGATGTCAGTCTGTCTAATTCGTCCTGCAATAGATGAAGGGAACATATTCTATGCGCACGATAAACTAGCGCTTTAACAAGATGTTTCTTCGATTTCGTTGGAGTATAGCTCCCCCACGGAATGTAGAGGCCGGTGAAAGTTGGCTTCCTATAGATAGTGGTGTCCAAACTCTTAGTGTTGATGTTGCGTGATATTTGTACATCCAAGAAGGATAATCTGCCGTTTTGTTCCGCTTCCGACGTTAATATCAACGCCGGATGGAGGCTATTCAGAGTTAGTAGAAAAGTCCCACAGACATCCTCATCCTCATCGTGACAGTACACATCGTCTACAAAACGACAGTACATAGAGGGCCACAATGATGGACTAATGGACGCTTCACAGAACCCTACAAATATATTAGCCAATACAGGACCAAGCGGCCAGCCCATGGCAATGCCATCTATTTGTTGAATCGCACTTCGTCCATCAAGCAACATCTGTCAGCCCGTACCAATTGTCGTGAGTTGTACAGTGATAATGTGTTCTCAATATTGTCACGTGGTAGATGTGCGTTGCATCTGGCTGTGTTAGAAGCTTTGTATATCCGTAAGTTAGATCCTGAACTTTGCGTACAGAAAGAAAATGTGTTGTCGCTACAATTGTTTGGTGTTACTCCTCGTCGAGGTGTTAACAATGTAACTTAATTTTCTCACTGTGTTCTTGTCACTATTATTATTTCCTTCGAGTTTTGTGTCGTGCTGAACTTGATAATTTTCCACCTTGTCACGAGTGTTGTTATCTCATATCTTTACGCTATATAAGTTTTAGTCTTTCCAACTTGAGCCATTCCCTGTATAATCCTTGATGAGAAGGGACCGAAAACGTTCGGATACTTTGACAAGTGCCTTATTTTGACTGGATGTATGTTTGCGTGGATACTTACGACCCAACACGTACCTTCGTTATTAAAGTATTATCCGCCTCCGACTTCTTGTAAAATTATTATTATTATTATTATTATTATTATTATTAGACACAATCTCATAGCATGTGACAAGCATAGCTAATGCAGGGACAGAATCCCCTGAGACAAGGGCGTTGAGCCAGCCACGGCAAAGATGTGTAAGTTATTGATTAATCACAACTGTCTGAATGGTGTGGCCTTGCTGCTTGTCTGAATGGTGTGGCCTTGCTGCTTGTATGAATGGTGTGGCCTTGCTGCTTGTATGAATGGTGTGGCCTTGCTGCTTGTATGAATGGTGTGGCCTTGCTGCTTGTATGAATGGTGTGGCCTTGCTGCTTGTATGAATGGTGTGGCCTTGCTGCTTGTATGAATGGTGTGGCCTTGCTGCATGTCTGAATGGTGTGGCCTTGCTGGTTGTCTGAATGGTGTGGCCTTGCTGCTTGTATGAATGGTGTGGCCTTGCTGCTTGTATGAATGGTGTGGCCTTGCTGCTTGTATGAATGGTGTGGCCTTGCTGCTTGTATGAATGGTGTGGCCTTGCTGCTTGTATGAATGGTGTGGCCTTGCTGCTTGTCTGAATGGTGTGGCCTTGCTGCTTGTATGAATGGTGTGGCCTTGCTGCTTGTATGAATGGTGTGGCCTTGCTGCTTGTCTGAATGGTGTGGCCTTGCTGCTTGTATGAATGGTGTGGCCTTGCTGCTTGTATGAATGGTGTGGCCTTGCTGCTTGTATGAATGGTGTGGCCTTGCTGCTTGTATGAATGGTGTGGCCTTGCTGCTTGTATGAATGGTGTGGCCTTGCTGCTTGTATGAATGGTGTGGCCTTGCTGCTTGTATGAATGGTGTGGCCTTGCTGCTTGTATGAATGGTGTGGCCTTGCTGCTTGTATGAATGGTGTGGCCTTGCTGCTTGTCTGAATGGTGTGGCCTTGCTGCTTGTCTGAATGGTGTGGCCTTGCTGCTTGTATGAATGGTGTGGCCTCGCTGCTTGTCTGAATGGTGTGGCCTTGCTGCTTGTATGAATGGTGTGGCCTTGCTGCTTGTATGAATGGTGTGGCCTTGCTGCTTGTATGAATGGTGTGGCCTTGCTGCTTGTCTGAATGGTGTGGCCTTGCTGCTTGTATGAATGGTGTGGCATTGCTGCTTGTCTGAATGGTGTGGCCTTGCTGCTTGTCTGAATGGTGTGGCCTTGCTGCTTGTCTGAATGGTGTGGCCTTGCTGCTTGTATGAATGGTGTGGCCTTGCTGCTTGTCTGAATGGTGTGGCCTTGCTGCTTGTCTGAATGGTGTGGCCTTGCTGCTTGTCTGAATGGTGTGGCCTTGCTGCTTGTCTGAATGGTGTGGCCTTGCTGCTTGTCTGAATCAGTGTGTACCCACTGTGCAAGCAGGGGCGTTGGACATGGTGACATGGTGACATGGTGACATGGTGCGGTTATTTTGGTATTGACCGTACAATACTTTGCCCCAGGTACCCGTGAACTTCAATAGAATGCACTGATCTGGTCTTCAATAGAATACACTGATCTGGGCTCTAAATTTCCAACATCTTCGGCTCAGCCACCTTCCCCCACGAGTAAATTGTACTTTAGATGGTTGACCGTACCACACCAAAAAATGCCTTCCGACTCCCATGACATGTAAGATGTGTTCTACTTTGCATTTGTTTCAGCTGGGCTTGGGTGCTGTGCGCAATGAATCACCGTTGTTGACGAGAGGCAACTCCTCCACCCCTAGTGAATCAGCTGCAAGTCCCATACGACAGCTTGGTCGCCAGTTTATGAGCAGGGTGAAGAGCTTGACTAATAACGGTTCAAGCACTGCAGGTGTTGAGAGAAGACAGCGCTCCAAATCCTGTGATCAAGGTGTAGCATTGCCCCATGGAAGTGCCCTGCCCCAGGGAAGCGCCCCGCCCCAGGGAAGTGCCCTGCCCCAGGGAAGCGCCCTGCCTTATCACACAAATAACCATGGTAACCATTCTGCACCCATGAACATGAACAACGGAAGTCGAGCACTTGTCGCAGTGGCTGATACTGGTGCACAGAACTCTAGCACTGCGGGCTTAGCCTGAACACAGCGCACCACACAACATGTGCTTGACCTTCAGTCTGATCCAATGAAACTCGAAGGATATTGCTCCCAAAGATCATCAAATGTTTCGCATCTTCAGCAGCTTTTCAAGTGACCCCTTACCATATCTGCTTGAGCCTTGAACCAAAGTTAATTTTCAGATGTGTAGTACTGTTGACAAATTTGCTAGATTTTCGGAAATCGGACGTAATTTCAAGCACCGTTCCCGTGCCCTCTTTTCTGGTGATAAGCAATTGAAACACTACCATGTTAACTATTTGATTGATTTATCCACCTTGAAAACATAGCAAGTGTGTATAAATTATGTAGTGACCAGAGCACCGCATCAAAACACTTTTTGAATATTTTTAAACTTTCAGGATCTATGCAATTTTTGCAATAAGCATAATTCAATGTGCATAGTTCTAAGAGGAGCATGAAGGTATTCATATCCATGGTGATTAACACATCCAGCCAGGCATATCAGCTCATCTAGTGTCGAAGATCATTGGGACAAGTATGCTAATAACTCATGTTGAGAGAGGCAGCGGTGCCATCAAGGAGAAGGCTCCATAGGTTTGCAACATGCTTGTGGGGAAATGTCTTCTTCTTGTCTTCAGACTTGGTTTCTTGAATCACTTCCCGCTCGGCTGGCCTTGGGCAGTCAGACCTGGAAATTCTGGTGGTGAGATCTTGGATAAGTGCCATACCCTCCACAAGGCATGTAGCGACCGATGTGTCACGATTCCTGCTGTACTCCCTAGCCAAGGAATCCATCAGTGTGTGCACGACGCCTTCGAGTCGAGTAATGTGAAATACCTGCAACATCCCGGCGCACATGGGAAAAATACAAATCCCTGTTACCCTGAATCTATCATAGAATAAGCAAACCAGTACAGACATGTGTTGCAAGCCAGTACAGACATGTGTTGCAAGCCAGTTAGTTGTAGAACTTCAGTACCGTCAGTCAGTGTCGTGCAATGTTATCGCATGAGCTGATTGTTGAGTGACTGGTGGTGTTAGTGGACATTATAGTGTAACTTGTAGTTCCTTGGACCTTTTTTTTTCTTTTTGATGCTTCGTGTGTTTTTCTTTTGCTTTTTTGGCGTCAAACCACCACATAACAGGGCCGGAGGAACGAGTTTGCGAGTGGTCCGGCCGAAGTCCAAGGGGGGTCCGGGGGATCTCCCCGGGGAAATTTTTGAGAATTTAAGTGAAAATGAGCCAATTTGGGCATCTCGTGAGAGAGATAGGCAGATGTGACGGATGGAACTATATACAATTAGTAACAATTAGGCATCAGAATTGGGAAATTATTCGGAAAATTTACGTAAATATGAGCCAATTTGGCATCTCGTGAGAGAGACAGACAGATGTGACGGATGAAACTATATACAATTAGGAATCAGGATTGCTCTGGAAAGATGTCTATTGAAACTTTCCAAAGATGTTTAACCGATGCTCATTGGCGGCAACGAAATCATCACCACATTGCCGCAAGCTGAGCAAATCTGCTTTGTCCTTGTGGACATGCAGCAGAAGCAAAGCATTAAGGCGAGCCTGGGCCATTGTGGTGCGGAGATAGGTTTTCAGTCGTCGAAGAGCTGAAAATGACCTCTCGCTGGTGGCATTGCTTGCAGGCATGACGAGGATAAGCTTCATGATGGCAAATATCTCCGACAGTAGTTCCCTACCTCTACCAAGGTTGAGGAGGGCTGTCTTGATTGTGCCAATTGAGATGTTTCCACCTCCTGTGCACAAGGACTTGAGCAGCGGCAGTTGTGTTTGCAACAGTGGAACATTGATGTCCGTGGCATACATGTCCTCAACCCGTGCCAGCTCAGCACTGTAATCATCTCCATTGGCAGCCTTCAGGACAACTCCCTCCAGGCAGCTGTACACTTTGTACCCTGGCTGATCAAATCGCTCTTTGATGCATGCCATCACAGTATCAATGGCGGCAAAGTAGATAGGCTTGTAATGGTCAGCAGGGCTTTCAGGATAGTGACCCTGGCCGGTGCCGACAGCAAAGCGAGCTGGTGTCTTCCGCTTCCTCGCTAGAACCGGCTCATCCACGTCATTGGCTGACTGCACTTTGACAACGTCCGCCCAAAACGTGTCAAAGGATGTATCATTCCGAAGGCTTGTCAGGGATCGCAGAGTGACGGTTGCTGCTGCTTGACCTTCCGCAGCAGAAATATCCTTCTTCTGCAACGTCTTGCTCAGGTTCTCGGCAAGGCCAAGAATTTTGCGTCCCAGCATAACTCCAAATAGGAAACTGAACAGCGAGAACTGGTGTGCAATTCCACTGACACGAGCTGACATCTCGGCATCATACGTAGCCATTGACTCAAATTCGGTAAGGCTGGCTTGCAGGACGGAGTAGTTGCTAACAATGCTAGCGAGGGAGGCTGAGCGAGTGGTCCATCTTGTGGGGCATAGCGTTCGAAATCCTGCTTGGTCAGGAGCCATGTCATCCTTGAGCCTTTGATATGTGGCATTGCGCTTCGCAGAATATTTCAGAAGTTTTGACAACTCAAACACGGTGTTAAGACAATCCTTGATACACTTGATGTCTCGAACCATATCCTGGCAAGCTAAATTTAAGGCATGCCCGTAGCAATGAGTGTATAACGCTTTGGGGTTTATCTGTAGTAGCTGTGCTGCGACTCCATTTCGATGCCCTCTCATGACAGATGCCCCGTCATAACATTGTCCACGGCAGAACTCTAATGGTAGGTTGAGTCTTGTGCACACGTCCTTGATCATGCCAAAAATCGTGGCTGCATCGGCTTTCTCCAGCGCATACATGCCAATAAATTCCTCGTGTGGTTCCAGCTGGTCATCCACCCAACGAAATACGGCAGTCATCTGCTCAATAGTGCTAGAGTCGGTAGTTTCGTCCACCATGACTGTGAAGAACTGACCCTGCATTTCCTCGATAATTCCACGCAGTATCCTGTGAGCCATGACCTGCAGGATCTCATTTTGCATATCATGGCCAGTGTATTTGCTGCTTTTGCGTTGCAACCACTCTGCAAAAGCTGGGTCACTGGAGCTGGTGAGCTTTAGAAGCTGACTGAAATTGCCATCTTCTTCCTGCGGACCATCACCACGCATGGGAAGTCCTTGTCTAGCGAGGAATCGAAGAGCAGACAGAATCTTCAGGAAGGACTCCCGGGCAGCCCTTTTGTCCTCCGCAAGTTTGGACGACAAGAGTTCACCCACGTCTTTCGTGGTGGCAGGTACTGTTAGCAATCGTTCTACAGCTTCGCGGTGGCACTCGGACGACTCGTGCCTCCTGAAGCTTGTTGTCGCATCCTTCCAGTTCTGGAACCCCTTCGTCAGAAACGCACCATCAGCACAGCTAGCGATCAAAAGTTTCTTCGAAACAGCCAAGCAGCAGGTATGGCAAAACGCACGCTCGCTCTTTGAATCCCAATGTAGCCATTCCCAAGAGGAGAACCAACTCGGCTGAAAGGAGCGGCACACAACATTCTTCACACCAAATGCGACAAGAGGAAACGTAAGGTCACGCGGTTGAAAGGGTTTGTCCTCCACAACTAGAACCCGCTCCAACTGAGCACTCAAGCTCGGTCCGGCATGTTTTGACAACGCCATAACGCCATCAGGATAACGGAACACGAACTGTAATTGCAACTACTCGCACTCGTAGTGCTGGAACGACTGGAGTCAGATGTATCGTGCAAGTGTCATGACATTATAATTGTAGTCCTAGATCCTGTAGACCGTATACGCGTAGATCAACTACAGTCTACAGGAAGTAAGTTAGTTGCCCACGCGGCTGTAAACTACTCCTACAATACAAGAAGTAACATTTCCGTTGCCCTCAGCAGGCCTGTGTACACGCTACACGTGCCAACGGCCAGTCTTCCGGCCCAAACACGATCCAAGTATCCCAAAGTAGTTGACCACGGATCACGAAGGCAAGCCAAATCTGGGGTCAAGACGTGCATCGTTTTGGTGGTGCGTAGAATCTACTACTACTACTACTTACTAGATCTACATGTACATGATGACCTCACGTCGATTTCCATCCTGTCCTCAACCGACTCCCGGGATCCCGATTAGATCGTGAGCTCAGTGTACGTAGGTCTACGTGTATGCTACGCTTGACGGCCTGATACGGCCAGGGCTACGGTGTACCGGTATGTAGATATCTCTAACAATGCATGCAGTGCAGACATCTACGTGTGCGCACATTTTGTCGAAAGACCGATCATTTTTTCGGCTTCCTCGTACAGCATTCACGTAGATGTCTCTCGATCCGGATCGACGCTCGATCTTGTGCTTTTCGCTCGTTTCCTGTTGACTCGCGTATGTATTTTCGATAGGATGGAGGAGAGACTGATGCTGCAGTGCTTTGGTGGAAGGTGAGGTCGTGCATTGAACGATCCTTGTCACAAGTCCAAGCCCTGACCCTCTGAAATTTTTTACACCGGTTTTGCATGAATCAGGTGGACCACCCAGCTGGGAAAAGTGGTCCGGCCATGGCCGGACCAGCCGGACCGGTTCCGGCGGCCCTGCATAAGTGCCAATTTATTAAGTGGTAAGTTAGTTACTTACCAGAAACTTTGGTTGAATCAAACGTAGCTGCCTCCACGGGTTTGCCAGACCAGTACAGCATAGTTCATCCGACTGCATAGGGGCAAAGTATCAATATAATCCCATACAGAAAGACCCGATATGCAAGTGCTCTTAGAAGACAATTTCTAGGAATCAGAACTTCAGTACCCATGTATGTACCCTTCTTGGGATACTCAACAGTAGCTTAGGCCGACTGGTTCGCGTCATCCAGCGAACAGGAATTTCAACCAAACTGTGCAATATTCCTGTGGGTTGATACAAGTGCAGTATTGCTGTGGCAAGATACCAGTGGGAATACCTGTGAGACAAGCCGTGGCAAAAACATTCCTGTGGCTAGGTGCAAGTGCAAATTTGCTGGCGCAAATACAAGTGCAGATTATTCTGGGCAAATATGTTACATATGCAAACTTCCTGTTGGTAGATACAAGTGAAAAATGTGAGCGGAGGCAGGCGAAGCACATTATAGCCGGGACCCACTTTGAAATCACCCCGGACTACACCACTGCCCCAATCAAGTTCCGCTCACTTCTTGAATCGGAACGGATCACTTTCAGTGCCTGCATTGGTTACTTTCCAGTGTAAAATGACTGGTTTTGCGGCGTAATTGATTATTTGGTATGGCCGTGAAAACCTTGCCTGGACATGAAGATACGTTTCGTAAATCAGGAAGCTCCTGCAAGTGTTTCCAGGGCATGGGTCTCTTTTCATGGGATTACATTTTCAAAGTGGAGGTGAAAACACTATATGGGGCGGGGGGGGGGACAAAATTTGGCTAACGCAGTCTGCATATTCTTGACCTAACCTGTCCATTCCGTCTCCTTCTCGTTCTCCACATGGTGTCATTATTCACATTGAATCTGGCTGTTGCTACCTCCTCGTTGTCAACATAGACTTGGATGTCTCCGGAACCATTGCTGTAGCACCACAATCCACACCAAAATACAACAGAGACCTTAGCTTAGAGCTTTTGCACATTATTACTTTAAAAGTATACACTTCTGGAGAAAAACAAACAGTCAATCTGCAGCTAAGAATTGAACGTACTCTACTCAAACACACACACACACACACACACACACACACACACACAGTCATGACATAGCCTAGAGGTCAGCTCAGAAAATTCCTTACATTGAATTCATAGGTGACTCGAACACTAGTGGCGTGAAGCTCCACGAGGGGTCAATGGGCCAGGTTTCATCCAAAGCAGCACGTGTAACTCTCTCCGTGCATGTAGAGCGAAGTCTTATCATTCGCGTCAGACCATTGTTGTGTGGCACCGTGAGCGTCAGCATTCCGTTTTCAATTTGAATTGGTTGTATTCCATCAGCGTTTTCGGCTGAAACAGCAAGTACTACCATTACTAATATGCAGTAAGTGAGTGGGAGTAGGTCGTGGTTCACTACAAATTTCAACACCAGATCTGCAAAAGCAACAACAATAAGAACAGGAAAATAGAATGCATTCAGTGTAAGTTTCACTGCCCTGGTATCAAGTTCACGTCAATACATCCAGGATTCATGAGTTCAGATCAGAGTGCATCATCAAGCACACGTTGATACAGATATTATTATGCGTACACTTGAAATTGATCTGCTGCCCAGGAAGTACACATCGGTCTGGATTTGACCTGCCACGACTGTATGCTCAGTTAGGTGGGTAGAATTTCCTCTACTACGCGGCTTTTGAAGCTCATGCATGAGCACAATCATAGCAACACTGGTTAGGATAACGCCTTAGCTTGATGATGTGTATCCTCTAGTTCTGTGCCCAGCCAGATCTTACATTCCTTGTGCGATCGGTGGTGCGTTCTTCGGTTACAGCCATGTTTAGATGCTTTGCGGCAGGAGGCAGTTTTCTTTTCTGTGAAACAAAAAAAAATAAGAAACAGTAAGCTTGCCTGAATTGATCAGCCGCCGTACAATAACATCAATTTGATCTTATCCCAGAGCTGGAGGAGAGTATAACATTATTATTATCATTGTATTTCAGAGCCAGAGGAAAGTGTGAAAATTTTACATAAAACTTCATCACATGCTTGCTCTTTTCAACACCATATTCATAAAGTACGACGTGCTACCAATAGGTAAAGGCTGTGATTAAATCTACATGTATCTCACTACTACTACTAGTAGTCACTCTTGCCTGACAAGGATATCATAATAATAATAATAATAATAATATATTTTGAAAATTTTTTTAGAAAGGAAATTGGATGTCCTCTTTTCTGTTGGGACTGTTCAGATTGAAGACTACACAGCTGTGACTTATGAGGCTAGAATCATTACCTTGATGTGAGAGTTGTCCTTCATCTTTTCTTGTTTCCGTTTCAAATGATCGATTGTCACAAACGTCAGGTTGGCATCGGTGCGTTTGGATATCCGTAGCACCCCGAGCCGCAGGAAAGCAGCTTGAGCCAAGCGTTTCTGCTTGACTCTGCTGCAATCCTGTGGCCATTGTTTTGTACCGCTGGTGTTTTCATTTCAACTGATCACTAGCCGTACACTGAGCGCACTGAGGAGAGAAGGATGGCGGTGCCTGTTTTTCACTTACCACCTGAAAGGGGCTGGCTCGTGACTACTAGTGCAGCAAGCCAACTCACTGCTCAGGCACGCACTTGTTATTGCTACCTTTGAGAGACACCTCGGAAAGTGACCAATGAAAACAATGATTTGGATAAGACACGACTTGTGGGAAGGCACGCCAACTCGCAGCTACTTGTCAGCTTTCCGGCGATAGGTTCATGTTCGCATCTTGTTTCTAGTTCTGTCTTTCACTGTCTGCTTCAGAACAGCTGATCACTGGAGTGATTTTGCTACACGAATGTTTCGCGCTTGGCATGAGGCACTTCGCGGGATTCTGCTGGGACAGTCCCTATTGCGGAAAATTTCAGGTTACTGACACTATTACTGATTCAACACAGCATGCAACCACCTGCATGCATAGCATGGCTTCTTCGCTCAGCGGTACTGCCGGTACGCGGTAGATCTACTACGCGGCGGTAGGTCTGTCGCAGCACTTGTGCATGGCCATTTGCCAAGGCTGACGCATCAATCATCAGATCATGACGGGCGGCGGACAAACGACGGTTACGTTTCACTGTACATGACTGTGTAGATTGACATGGTTGATTATCTTCTCCTTGTTCCGTGTAGTTACACTCGTAATCGCAATCATCTAGTATTCGAGGCTATGTTCTTGCCGTCCCGAGAGAGGTTCGCACAATAACTGAATACAGTACAAATGCAATGGTGATGTCGCGCGCGAGGCATCGCGAGTTGGCCGGACGTGGCCACTTACCGAGCTAGCTACTATGGGGAAAGTACCGACAGTGACCTTGACCTGGCTGAAGTACAGTAGCATGCTAGCACGAGATAGAAACAATCCGATGTTACATCGGTGCTTTTGAAACACACATTTTCTGATATTTTCAAGGAGTTGGCAGTGTAGACCAGTGCAGTGGACTGTGACTACTGGCATTAGTATCACTTATGTCTTTGCGAGGGGCGATCGTGTTCCAACGCACGAGGAAAGCACATGATGGCGCTTACGCTTGCATGGCCATGGCTTAGCTAAAGGTCAGTAGATAGCTGCCAGAAAGAACAGTTTAGTATAATTCTGGGTAGCGAAATGACCCAATCCTTTTGCTCCGGCGACTGTAAATCATCCTCCTCCACGCAGAGGAGAGAGAGGCAGACACACAGAGCAAGAGAGAAATATTCTAATTTTCTCCTGGTCCTGTTGCACTACCGGACATGTTGTTTGACCCAACGACCGTGCAGACCTGCAGGTATGACCAGGAGTAAAACGAAAAGCAGATAACGATACAGCCTACAATTGCAGTTCTGAGATTTGGACGTAATCCATAACGCTCAGAGTCGTGGTCCTGCCGTTTTGTAGCCGCTTGTTACGCATCACCCTCACCCCCTGTTCGCTGCTCGCGCGCTGTTGACGACTCGGGGACCTGCTTGGGCCGGAACTTGGACGTCGTTGGATGTCCAGGACTGGGTTGTTTGCAGCTTCTCTAGCCCATGACCTGAGGACAGAGGACAAACAAGACAAAACTAGTACTGGGCACTAGTCACTGTGCATGTGGGCAGTTCACTGATTGAGTTGTAGACAAGCTGTTTGCGTGCCACCAACAGGCTGGACTGAGGTCACACGCACACACATCCAGCAGACGCTCTACGCTGCTTTCATCGGTGTGCCGGTCTGAAGCGTACAGCAGTATACCAGGTATACAGGCTACCCCCACTGGCCAGTACACAGCCTGCACAGAGTCCCTGCTTGACTTGTGGCTCTGCATCTGCACGGTTTGACTCTGACTCAGTCACGACATCAAAAAGGTAAAATAATTAAAGGGGAAGTTAAATATTGCTATAGTGACTGTGTATCCCGCGGACCCCACCACTACCACCACCACCACCACCACCAATTAAGGCAAAAATCAAAATTTCACCAGTTGGTAGTTTTCGGGGTGCTGAGTCGAATGGTCGTGGTCCGAGGAAGCTGAGACGCTCCCTTCCTACTTGAATCCCAATCGAACTCGCGCACTTCCACCCAAACTGGGTGACTGCGCCCTACTAGATGGGGATTTGTATGCAAAATGTCACTAAAAGCGCCATTTCGTTCTTATAAAAGCACGGATGACCGCGATTGGCCCATATGTTGTAGTCTTTTGGACGCTGAGTCGACTGGTTTTGGTCCGAAAAGGCTGCGATGCAGCGTTCCTCCTTTATTCCCAATCGAACATGGTTGAACAAGCGGTCACGTGCTCCTGCGTACACCAATCACCTGGTCACCGTGCCTGCAGGGTACAACTTACTAGCCTGTTTGACCTTTTTTGGGTGCAGTCCTGTCACTCGAGTTGAACCTTGGTGTGAAAGTTGTCGCCTGCTGGCGTGGTGACCAGGTGATTTGGGCACCCAGGAGCACGTGACCGCTTGTTCAACCATGTTCGATTGGGAATAAAGGAGGAACGCTGCATCGCAGCCTTTTCGGACCAAAACCAGTCGACTCAGCGTCCAAAAGACTACAACATATGGGCCAATCGCGGTCATCCGTGCTTTTATAAGAACGAAATGGCGCTTTTAGTGACATTTTGCATACAAATCCCCATCTAGTAGGGCGCAGTCACCCAGTTTCGGTGGAAGTGCGCGAGTTCGATTGGGATTCAAGTAGGAAAGGAGCGTCTCAGCTTCCTCGGACCACGACCATTCGACTCAGCACCCCGAAGACTATTATTATTATATTATTCACACATATCCGCCGGATGAGTACGCGTGGCCCATGCACCATGGGGACCCACGAATACAAACCAGCATATGTTCCCTCAGCAATACAAGCAAGCAAGCACGCAAAGATAAATGAGAGCCCAGGCAGCGAAAACAAAACGAAGAGAGATGAGGACATAGGCAACGAAAACAATTCCAAAGCATAGCCAGGGATTGAATGTGTGCATCTGGGTACGACAGTTAACACGAAGTTAACGAAGTTAACCCCGAAGACTACAACTGGTGAAATTTTAATTTTTGCCTTAACTTCCCCTTTAATTCGTGTTCAACGGTAGTGCTATAATTATTATCAATGCTGGCCGTGGGACATCACTTGTAGTGCAGTAGTATAGTGGGTCACATCTTGCAAAGACTAAGTAATACTATTACCGTGTAGTACACGTGCTAGATAGAATCTGCATAATACCATGCCTTGCCTTGCCATATATCTGGTCCGTGCGGAATATTGAAATGAAAATGTTAGACCCAATATGTGATTGTGCCAGTGCATCTAGATACATGCACGCATGTACACAGAAGCCACAGGTACAGGTGTAACTGTAAGTAACCAAGTACGGTCAACGTTGCGTATAACGACACTCGGCGGGGCATCAGAAAAGTGTCCTTATTCGCGAAGTGTCGTTATATCCGAAGTCTCATTATAATGTATACAGTTAGATGGGACTTTGCTCTGGGCATGGAAATTCTGTCGTTATTCGCGAATTGTCGTTATATCCGCAGTCGTTATTAGCGAAGTTGACTGAAACTTAGTTTAGCCCTACAAACAAAGTTGTTGCATTTCTTTCTGTGAAAAAAAAAACAGAACAAAACAAAAACCACGGGTATACACAGGTAACCTTCATACATGTATGCACATTTGTATTTATGGATTCTCCACAGGCCTTAGCCTAAATCGAGGGAGTCTCCGTGTGCGCATTTGTAATCCATGGCAAGCTGCTTGTCTTTCCCACACCAGGATATCTTTGCCTTGTGGGCCATGCCAACCAACCGCCCTTTACACGCGCACACACACAAACACACACACACACACACACACACATTGAACCTTGAACCTTGAACATGCCCATTGCCGACGGCAATGATAGCGAAGGGACTATCTGCTAGCTTTGCAGTACGGTGTATGGCGCTTGAGATTCCCGGGACAACGGCAGACCTCTCTGCATGTGCAGCGGAAGCTAGAGTCAGGATCAGGCCGGGGAGCACGGGCGGGAGGGCGACGTTGAGCGATCTGCCTCCAGGCAGAGACATACAAACACACACGCATGCGCGCACATGCACGTACGTACACACAAATTCACACACATCTAGAAATTGTGAGTTGGAAATCTGCATGTAAGGTTTACTACATGTACTAAATACACTCTCTAAGAGCACACACTTCAGGTTCTTCAACAAAATTTGAAACATTTCACAAGTAAACTTTCGTGCCTGCTCCTCAGGTGATGTACCAAACAGTACTTGCAAAACTTTTCAAAATGTTGTTGAGAACCTGCAGTGTGTGCTCTAAGCTCTTAGTGCTCTAGAATTTTTGTCTGAGGAAGCTTTTCACATGTACTAAGACTGAGTATTGGGTATTTGTCCCAACACCACTCAACTAGCGGCAGCCATCCATGCAAATAATTCCAACTACCCATCAAGGATGCCATGATTTCATCATGACAATCACAGTGGCACTGAGTCTCACACGATGACACATGCAGCTTGTGTCACATCATCCAATCTGTGACAAGCCCTGGCAGTCAGAACCAACGTTAGTTGTCATCCGTTGTCCAATGCTGAATAAGCGTAAGGAAGTTACTAATGACAAGCCAACCTTGGCTATGTAAACGGGTCATGGTAGTAATGTTAGACACCGTGAGAGAGTCTTACTACTAGTCTCAGTGTTAAAATGCATTACAGGTCTGGTGTTTTCCCCCCAGATAGCTGTTAGTCCCCTCAGTGACCTAGTGCATAGGCAGATGTGCTGACCTAAAGAGACCGAAGAGAGAAAGATTTATGGTTCCAGTTCTGCAATTACGCTTTCATCTGCAGCCTTATGTCAAGTTGATCACTGCTTTTCGCCTATGCTGTGTGTGTTTCTGATCTGACCGTAATGGTACTGCAGCTTTCACTTTCACAGCCTTCAAACGATAAACACAGAAGAGACAACTTTCACGAGTAAGGGTTCTCCAAGGCTTGTATAGGTGTTCATTAGTTCTCATGCCTCTTGATCTTACCATTTTCAAGTACTGCTTTTTTAAAGTGCGATCTTAGTCACTAAAGGCGTGAACTCTAATGTTGTTAGAACACACCTGAGTGATCTGTATCATTCCATGGTGTGGCCCCTCTCTCTGTACAGTGTATGTGAGCTCTGCCTCTGCAGTTTGGCAGTCAGGGAAACTGTAAACAGTAGTAGTCTCTACAGATATCGGCATTGAGAACAGGATTGATGGTCACCTTGCTTAAAAGAAAATTAAGTGCTGCCGCTTCCTTGCTTCCTGCCTTCCTTGCTCCTACCTACTTTTTTTCCTGTGTTCTTGTAGTGCCATCTTTCAATATGAAGCTGAAGATATTTCTGAAACTTGCACAAGCCCGTACATCCACCGCATTCACAGTTCGTGTGTCAGAAACAGACGGTGAAAGTCAGCCCATTTCAGGTGCTGGGCAAATGCGGACAGATCAGTGTGAAGGAATTATTTGCTTGAGAAAACCGGTAAGGTCTTTTCTTCTGATTTTAGACATTCAATGTTTTTTTCTATTTTGAATAAAAACTTGGATATTAAGTCAATAGTAATATGGAAAGAGAAAAGGACCTATAAGTTACTTCGTAGATGTGTTGGAGCTAGGTGTCAGGTCGTCGAATGTCTCCATATCCTTGTCAGTTTTGTGCCTTGTTGTCACACTATCTGACTGTATATTATCTCGTTACCTTGGTGGACTGTTAGTCATAACTAGAAACTTATAGATCCTTTTCTCTTTCCATTTTCTATTCTGGATTATATTTGATGAATCGTTTTTTTTCTTGATGTCCATAGCCAAGAAGAGATCGAAACTGAATATGCATTGGCAAGGAGGTGGTAAGGGTCAGGATGTGTGTTATGCAATGATACTAGAAGACGATGGCTGTTTTAAAATTGAAACGTGTTAACTTGGCATGGATATCAAGAACTTTTGTGACCTAGACATGACTACAACAAAGGAGCAGACATGATAATGTGCAGATTAGCGGTAGAATGAGGGGCTTGACTTCACCTTTGGTCGAGACGACGGTAGTTCCTGTGAGTGTCTGATATGGCAGTGTGGTGGAAGGAGGTTTAAGTGGTTGCACGCGGAATACAATGGTGGCCAGAGTTGAACTCGGCTAGCCTCGGAAGGGACTGTGGGAAGTGGGAAGGCGCACTTGTGTCGCAGGTTTCGAGTGGGTGCCCGGATGATGCCTGGATCATTCTAAGCTAATTGAAAGTGTCGGTGTGCTGTGCTAAGTTCAAGCCACAGTGTGACTGCATGATGTGTACTTCCACTTGTGAGGACAATGACTATGTACCTAGCTAACAGTGACGTTTGAAGAGACCCTGGCCTGCTGAAAGGAAGAAACCAACCCTATCAAATCCCCTTGAGGTTTTGCATAACAATTCAAAAAAATCAACAACAAAAAATAAATTTATAGTAAAGAAAAAATGCACCAAGAACTCCACTCGGATGGACTCTCCATCCGAGTCCAAAAAAAGAAATTTTCTTCACTCCCCTTCTTGGCTTCGTTGGATCAACAGCTGGCACCTGGCTTGTCCGACAGATTTTTAGATAATATCTGTTTGCTTGTGGTGGATATGTTTGGGTGTTTTAGTGCAGCTTGCTGAGTTTTCGACTTGATCACCGATACACACGTACAGCATGCCACTACAACAATCTGCTGCTCACCTGTGCGGAGCAAGACTCTCTGAATGCTCACCTGCCATTGCCACCCACAGGTTGGGTGCGCCATGCTCCGTTTGCCTCCACGCTCGTCAGTGGTACGTCTTGTAGAAACCAGAACCGTTTCAGGAAATCAGACCATCCATGTTATGGTATGGTATGGTATGGTATTTGTCTAGCAAATAGGCAAAGATGTCTGAGAACATTCATTGATCACCTCCACTGTTGCCGTAAGGAAACCTTTGATATGGTGCATTTCAACGCATGACACATTGCGTTCGATCGAATCATGTCTGGTTTCAGATGCCCGGGTCACGCAAGTGGGTACATTATGCACTATGTGTATTGCAAAAGTTCTTTCATACTTTTGGGATGTGTGTTTGTTGACATCCTGGCTTGAAAGTGAATTGGAATTCGGTAGGGAACTCCCGTGCTGGAAGTCGGTAGGGAACTCCCGTGCTGGAAGTCGGTAGGGAACTCCTGTGCTGGAAGTTCAATGGTAGGAAACTCCCGTGCTGGAAGTCTGTGTGGAACTTCCGGGCAGATACTGGAACTGAGATTATGAGGAACTCGGTGACTAGTAGCTAGTGCCCATTGGGACTTTCAGTGTAAGCTAGATGCATGGCCAGTATTCACTGCACAACATTTCTCACGGTTTGGCCGTCGGCATGCAGTTAGCATAGAATTATTTACTCATACAGTAGCATAGAACCTTTCTTTCTCTCCGGGCTGTCTATCCCCATGGTGTTCTGTAGAGGCGTGCTCCTGCCTCGGCACACACCCAAACCACACAAAGGACCAGCTCGCGACTATGAAGAGAACTCTGTTAGAAAACTCTGGCTCCAAGCCGCAATTGCTTGAAACCTTTCTCCGAACTCGTAAGCACTACAGCCTACTCTAGCCAACTCACTACTGCAGTGAAAACGTCTAGCTTATAACACTTGCATGCCAAGAACTCCATCAGCAGGCGCGAAAGAAGGTGAAGACAAAACCTGTGACTTAAAAGTGTGAACCCTAACGAAAGTCACAGCTACATGTAACACAAAACGAGAGTGCATGTCAGTGACACGTGCGACCTCCTGAACATTCTCCCCTTCCCGATATGTTGAAAAGTAACATCGAAAAGCATATCGCAACTCAACAAACAAATTTCCAATGCGACAAAAGCATTATTCCGAAAAGCTGTTGAAGAAATACAGCAAATGAACAATGTGAACACATTCAAGAAATAGTGAATCAAACTTTCCTTGAAATCAGTTTCACAAACGCCTCCGGCTGGTTGTTGTCACCTAGCCAATGTGACACCAGGGGCTTTAGCACAAGCCAAGCGGAAATAGTCGCGTGACAGGGCATGTCTTCTCCTTGTCGCCCACAAGCACCTTAGCCACTCGTACATGTCCATCTGGACCAGGAAAGACTGCCGTAATTCTTCCCAACGGCCAGTGCCCTCGTGGCGTGTCGGGATGAAGAACGTCTGGTTGAGTATTTCTCTCCGGTGGTCGCCACAAGAAACGCAAGTACGGTTGGTCCTCGGAGTGATTTCGAATCTGAAGGTACATCTCCCGAATATCACAAACGATGGTTACTGAGTTGCGCCGAAATCCGAGCAGCACTTCCAGTATCTCTCGCTGCAGCCTAGGGCCCGGCTCTACGCAGTCGCTGAATACCATGCTGTAATTGTCGGGCAGTTTTGATTTCTGGCCATTCCATTGAAGGTGAATCTCGTTCCCAGCCCCGTCGAGTTGCCGCATTGACTGCTCAACTTCAGGCTTCACACTGCGGTCCTTCATGTGCCAGGAGGGCTCAGGGCTGATACCGCCTTGATCAACTTCCCGTTGCCGGTTCAGCTGTACGCTACAGTAGGTGCTGTTGGCGCGGGTTGGTCGATCATCATTGTTTAATACTGCTCCGATACATGTCCAACCTAATGGCGTTCTGCGAGCTAGCGGTTCTCCCGGCTTGCCTTTGACTTCCTCCCAGCAAGAATGCAATTCACTATGATCACTGCCAATTAGAAGGTCCACTGATTCCTCGGTGAGAGCCGTGAAGGGAACATCTCGCAGGTGGTCCCATTGCGCTGCCGCATTCGCCCAGTCAACAGCCTTCAAGTTGCTTGCGATGCTTTCAATAGTTAGCGCCGTTAATTTGGACTGGAATGTTCCGTCAGCGCTTTCCACTGTGATGTTGACCGGCGTCGTGACGAATGTTTCCGTCAACCCGCTCAGAAGAGAAACTGATGCCTGCTGCGGTCTTCCTGCCACCCTTAACTGCCCGGCAGCTGCAGTGGTTATGTAGGTGGTAGTGCTGCAATCGTCCAACATAGCGTTAACCTGTATCCGTTCTCCTTCATGCACAAGCGACACCGGGAGGATGCGTAACGAGACCGAAGGTACTCCACGTGGCCGATCTTCTCCCAGATCCGGCTCCCCTTCCGTGGTGTTGCATGCTTGGATGGAGCAATTAATAGAGGCTGGCTCTATTGCAGGTGTTGTTGCCCCTCTTGTGCTGATTGAAGCTGTGGGAGCGCTTGACGATGCTACATCACTGCTCATGGCTGCTTCAGGCAGGTTCCGTTTCTGCTGCGGTTGACGATCATGAAGCAGCTGGTGATGTGTCTGACTGCAGCCACTGACACCGCACTTCCTGTTTCTGGTACAGGATGTCCCTCGATGTCCAGTGCCAAGGCACCTATAGCAGAGGCCTTTCTTCTTTGCTGTTTCCCACCGCCTGCTGGGCGACTCGCTCTTGAAGATATCACAACTCCATGTGTGATGGGGCGCATCACATACTGCACACTGGATTTTGGCAGCGCTCTGACCAGAGACCAGGAATGACGACGAGTGGGCTCCGGAGCTGCCACCGAACGTTGGTCGACTTCTTGCAGGGGCTGGTTTAGTCGACAGCGCCGCTGCATGATGACCATCCGCAGAACTGACTCCGTGGGCCATCTCCGCTGCTCCAGTAGCGAATTCTGCCTCGAGAGTCACCCATTCCAATAGCGTTGGTACACTGCTGGGTTTCGTGTTGTTGTGACGCCAACGGTTAAACTGGGTCAGCATGGGCATGGGCAGCTTGTTTTGCAGCTGTCGGAACAGAAGACCATCGCCCAGCTCATATTCCTTGCCTGCATCCGCCATGTTCACTATCAGCACATCCAGCAAATCGGCGAATCTCTGCAGGTCTCCAGGCCGGCCTGTCCGGAGGGCGGGGAACGACTCTATTTCCTCAAATTGGAGGTTTGTCTGTCTCTGCTCGCCACCGAATTTCCTGTCTAAACGGTTTACGGCGGCTTCGTAGGCATGGGCCGAGTAACCTAGGCTCTCGATGGCGACCAATGCCTCTCCACCTAAATACTGCTTCAGGTGCAGGAGCTTCACCTCCGGACTTGAGCTCGTCTGCCCAACACAAGCCATGAAGGCTGCTCTCCAGGCACGATAGGCTCTCTTGTTGCCTGTAAACGTTGGAATTTGTATGGGTTTCAGCCGCCGGAATATATCGTCCGATGATTGCTGATGCCGCGTTTGCTCTGGTGCTACTGATGGCACCGGTACTGGTGCGGCAGTCGACCCTGCTGGTTGCAAACCCATGGCCTGTGGAGCGGGCGGGCTCCGCAGACTTGCTGCTGGCACAGTGTGCACGCCGGCCACACCACTGGCGCCAGCCCACTGGGGAGACGCAGATGTAATTACTGGCGACTGAGTAGTGGTGTGACGGGTGTCAACGGATTGCTGGAATAGCGTGGCAGAAGCGGATCCAGGCGGCCTGCCAATTGCGCTGAATAGCGTTGCAGGTACGGATGATCCAGGCAGTCTGTCGATTGCGCTGCTTCCGCTGACTGTCTGCTGGGATGCAGGCATCTCTGGCCTCATTCCGTTTGCGCTGTTGGCGCTGGCAATCTGGAGTGCTAACGTTTCAGCGGGTGACACAGGTAGGTTGCTGGTCATGCCGATCGCTCCAGTGCCGTTCGCGCTGTTTGCGCTGATCAATCCCCAAGGTGCTGATCCTGCAGCTAGCGCAGAGGTCACAGGCTGTGCGCTCACAGGCTGTGCGCTGTCCGCGCTGGTCTGAATTTCCGACGCGTGCACAGGCCCGGATCCAGGCAGCCTGCCAATTGCGCTGAATAGCGTTGCAGGCTCGGATCCAGGCGGCCTGCCGGTTGCGCTGAATAGCGTTGCAGGCTCGGATCCAGGCGGCCTGCCGATTGCGCTGAATAGCGTTGCAGGCTCGGATCCAGGCGGCCTGCCGGTTGCGCTGAATAGCGTTGCAGGCTCGGATCCAGGCGGCCTGCCGGTTGCGCTGAATAGCGTTGCAGGCACTGGTGCAGACTCTGGATCTGACGCATGTGGTGCGCCGCTCGCGCTCATCTGGGGAACAGCCGCGGACAAAGGCGGACCGCGTGTCGCTCTGTTCGCGCTGTCCAAGTGCCCGGTGGCGCCAGACTCTAAAGCGGCACCAGCTGGCGCGCCGTTCCCTCCAACCTGCGCCGCAGCCGCGGACAAAGGCGAGCCACTTGCCGCTCTGCTCGCGCTGACCTGGGTCTTAGACGGAGTGAGCGCTCTGCGGACCAACGGCGTCTCTGGTCGCAACTCATCCGTGCCCATGGTGACTTTCGGTCCGCTTTCGCTGACCGCCTTGTACTTGTCTTCGCTGACTTCAGCAAGACCGTACTCCGTTCCCCGGTGCTGGTCTGCAACTGTTACTTGCTCTACGCCGGCTGACCGGCTCGTCGGCTCGTACGTGTAGCCATGGTAGCCGTAGTCGTACGCTAGTCCACGTGCAGCAGTAGACTCCGAGGCCTCAACTGAACTTCTGCCGTGCGCGTGCAGGTAGCTCCGGGCTCCAGCCCAACTGGGCATAGTGCTTGCGGCAGGTCCGCTGTATCCGTACCCGACCTCCGAAGCTAGTTCGCGTCGAGCCTGGACTGGGTGGGGCCGCTGTGAGACGCCCAGGTAGTCAGTTTCCTCCGCGTAACTGCGTACCTGTCCACGCACGTCCTCCAAAATGCTCTCGGTTGTGGTGGTGAATTGTTCCTCGAGCAATTCCGCTTCCCGCAGCGTTACTTCAATACGCTTCTCTTCGTTGGTTGAACTGTACAGACTAACGAGGTTCATGATAGCACTGGTGGCGTTGTCATAATGTGAGCTTAGCTCGGCTAGCTCGTCGTTAGCTTGCTCTCCTCGCACTCCGCCATTCATGGAGCGCACGAGAAGTGTCCGCCGCGCGTTGGTGAAGTGTTTTTTAGCCACCATCTTTTCTCTAAGCAGCTCGCTAAGCTTCTCGCGCTTGTTCTCTACTGCCGCTGGTTCTTCTCGGTGGTTTGCTTCCTCGGTGCTGGCAGTCCCGTCCTCCGCAGCATGGCTGTCTTCCTCCTTGTCCTCTTTGACTGGAGACTCCATAGCCGCGCTTAGGTGGAACGTTCAGCACTTACGAGGTCGACTCGACTTGATTAACCATCCTCTGCTACCAATATGTTCTGTAGAGGCGTGCTCCTGCCTCGGCACACACCCAAACCACACAAAGGACCAGCTCGCGACTATGAAGAGAACTCTGTTAGAAAACTCTGGCTCCAAGCCGCAATTGCTTGAAACCTTTCTCCGAACTCGTAAGCACTACAGCCTACTCTAGCCAACTCACTACTGCAGTGAAAACGTCTAGCTTATAACACTTGCATGCCAAGAACTCCATCAGCAGGCGCGAAAGAAGGTGAAGACAAAGCCTGTGACTTAAAAGTGTGAACCCTAACGAAAGTCACAGCTACATGTAACACAAAACGAGAGTGCATGTCAGTGACACGTGCGACCTCCTGAACACATGGTGTTTGTGTTGCTCTCCGGGACATGTTAATGTATGATGCTGCAGGAAATGCTGACCAAGCTCTGTCTGAGGCAACTGTGCTGATCAGTGGACAGGGTGTGGACAACTCCTATGTTGCTCTTGGACGTGTGACACTCAAATGTGTAAGTTGCAGAGTTTAAATTGCAAGTTTCTATGTCTATTCCAGGGGTGTAGTGTCCGGCCGGGCCACTTTTTCGCCCGACGGCGCCCAGAATGCAGGATTTTGCACCCGAATTTCAAATTTTCCCGGGCCGGGGGAGACCCCAACCCCCCTCCAGCCGAACCACCTCCAACGGCGGTGCTACGCACCTGGTCTATTCGTTAAAACATGGTTATTGATTGCCCATCTTATTTCAGCTATTCCACAAATTTGATCAAAGACACTTTAAAAATAAGTAGACGCTGAGGGGCAGTCCGAAAATACCGATACTGTTTCTAAACGACATTTGTTATGCTCCCCACCTCTCCCTTACAAGCATGCATGGATGCTGACCATTGCATGGATTCTTTTCCAGAGTAGACCCAGGTGCTCGAAGTCCGTACACTTTTACAGTGTGTGTTTGCCGAGCTGAAACTCACACTAGCAATGATCACTTGCCAGAATCCTGCTCGTGGATGGAAGGTATCTTGTCCAAGTTTGTTCTGAGGCCAGGCTCGATTGAACCAGGCCATCTTTCGATCCAATCTGTTTCTCTGGAGTTCGCTGATTTTTCGTATCAAATTTTGGTGTCGCAGAGGGTGCGCTAAGTCCGTACTGATCAGAGGTGACTCCAAATACACACATATTTCTGCTAATTGCTAACTTGCAATCCCTCGGTTATGACGAAAGCACCAAAGCGATATGTTTGGCATGTGCCTCCACCAGTATTTCTTGCATAAGCGTAGTTTGTTGCCGAAATGCAAGCTGTTTTTAGTCGGCTCAGAGAAGAAGCAGCTGCGCTGTGAAAACCGCGGGAATACAGTGGAGATGCCAGGAGTGTCAACCGTCAGGCGAAATTACTGGTCAGTCGGCGACACGCATTTTTCACAAAAATTTGCGTTTCACCTGCTGGGAGAGTATGCGTGTACTCGAGTCTCATCCTGAGCACGTTTTTTTCTTCTCGCTCCACATATACTGGCATACACAGAGACATAGACAGCAATAGCGACAACACACAAAGTGAAGGGTAGCTGGCCGCAGCCAGATGTGAACCGGATAACGAGTGAGGTATGGAAGCAAGCAAGGACTGATAACAGAGTGTCTCAGATAGAATAGTCATGCCAGTGGATAGCAGAAATAGGCCATGATGCAGAACCACTTGGGACCGTCAGCTTAATTTTCCTGGACCGAGCCAGCCGGGAAAAAACCCTCGCGCCGACGGACGCATTTGTGAGGGAAAAAACCGGGTGTATATCCCCAATGGCGATTAGGCATCATGTAGGCATGGCAAGCACATCACGGCAAACAGTGATAAAAAGTAGGGATGAAACGATTACACCGATTACTCGGGACTTACTCGTTATCTCTATGATCGCTACTCGTTATGCTGTTATCGAGTATGCACTACCTGTACATGTCATGTACCTGTCCATAGTACTAGTACTTAGTAGCTAAGTCGCACTGTCTGTCTAGTCAACCATGCATGGTCAACCCGCTGCAGCACGCGTCCTGCAAGGAGTTTTAGGTGACAAAATTCACACCTTTTCCTCGTCACGTTCGCACTTTGGGGACGTGTACCACCGGTGCACCCGTACCCCGGAGTGAAACAAACTGGCTGTGCAGGATTTGATTGTCAGTGTTTGGTGTTGGGAGTCGATGGAGGCGTCTGTTTGTAGGCTTCAGAAAGACAAGCGCAGTAAGAGCAGTACTTTGATTTCGACGTGGGATGCCGCTATGCGTGTTCTTGCTTTCACTTTGGTTGTTTTTGATGCAGTTCTATGCGAGTAGTTTGTTCGTGGCAGATAACAGGAGTTAGCTGGTGCATTGTTTTCTCGTGCGTGATGGTGTCCACGCCGCCGAAGATATCGCGTGTTTGCTTGATGAAAACAGTCCGTCGTCCGCTGTTGCAAACTGTGCAGTGGAAAGCTCACACGTCAGAGTGGTACCACGAATTTATTCAACCATTTGAAGACTCACCATAAGCTTCAGTACCTTGAAGTTGTAGGTGGAAAGCAGGGTGAAGATGCGAGCAAAACGGCAGCAGGAACGACGCCAGTGTCGACATTCTTCCGCAACAACCAAAAAAATATTTACTAGTTTTTATTACAACACAGTTCTAGACGAGATGTCACAGTACTTCCGAGATGTGTTATTCCATCAGTCAGCATTCGTGACATACATGATTGTACATGTTAGATTGATAGCATGTTGGATTCTATCATGATTGTACATGTACAAGCGTATTCTCTATTTTACTGTATACGCAAGTCCTTCATGCACTATTATCAAGTTCCGGAGACCAGTAAAATTTTGATATGTCATACATATCCAGCATACTCGTTTTATGATAACTCGATCGTTTATAATAAACGGTACTCGATAAGAAGAAATGGATGATCGTTTCATCCCTAATAAAAAGCATTGAAAATATGCACAGAAATAAAGGGTGGGAGGGCAGGGACACTGGTGAGACTCAAAACTGACTGAAGAAGTCAGGAAAAGAAGCGACAACAAAGAACACACCAGATGCCATATTTGCAACTGAAAATATTTCGCGAGAAATACAACTTCTTTTTCTCAGCTCCAGTATAGCTCGGGGGTGTATTTTTCATTGCAAAGCCGTCCTCGATTGTTGTGTTCGTTGTTCAAACGAAGTGGACATTCAATCATGAAGGCAGAGGACATAGGAGCCTGATTGGAGTTTCTCCTGGCATAGGACGGCCACACAGAGACACTTTGGGATTTTCTGAATATAAAATACCGTACGCACGATGCTGAGATCAATTTGTGCGATATCAAATTGTTTGTGATCTACCACATCGAGCAGAACGGGATCCAAACACAAGCTTACCGACGGTTAGGCTGCCGACCTGACTGGACAAATGATCCCTGGCTTCACCAGACGCCAGAAGTCGGACACCATGTCCTTTGCCGCTACGTCCATCTCCAAAAAGAACTCCATCTTCGCCGTGAAAAGGCTTGAAATACTCAATATTCAACCGAGATTCGCGGACTCGCGCTTTCTCAGATCGATTAATTTCCTGTTGGAACAGTTGCAGGGCAGCTTCCCGCCACTGTTTCAACAGGCGATGGCTCCAAAGCATGCCTGGAACAAGCCATATCGAGGTTGCAAGCCACCCCTCTCAGCAAAAAATTCGAAGAAATTCGAAATTTCAATGGTGGAAGATATACTATGAAGAGAATTTCAAAAAGTATGTTTCGCGGAGCGATCGCTCAACCTACGTCATTCAAACTTTGCAGGATGGTTCAGACGTACATGCTAGGCATGGAACCACAGGCGATGATGCCATAGCTGACACACAGAGTAACACACACAGCAGATTCGTGTGCACAGATACTAAATTAGTGGACGTCGTCATCTTCTTCCCGCTGATCTCGAATGTACTATGACGTGCTATTTCGCCTGACGATTTCTGCAATGATCGGTGGTTCTCTGTAAATTCTTCTCCTCTGGCCATTCTCAGCTCTAAGCTGGCTCTTGATGATTGAGTGAAGGTCTGTTTGACGCTGTGTCCGTTCGAAATCGGTCTTGGCAAAGTTGATTTTTGCATGAAATGTAACCCAATTTGTATTTCGTATGGACACTCGAAAACCCACTCGCGTGGTATGGGACTTCTGCTTATCGTAGATCCTTGAAAATTGCTACGCGACGAGAACATACCACACTGTCCCCTCCATAAAATATTTGAGTCGAATACAATAACAGAACATGAAATTATGGGCGTACGAACTTAGGATAGCATGTACGGACTTCGAGCACCTGGGTCTACATAGATATGCTTTGCTTTCAACTGACTAAAAAAGCAAATAGCACTTGAACCCTCTCCCCCCCCCCCCCAACATTTTCGAAAAATATAAAGCATTGCCTTGGGAGGGGGGGGGGGGGGTGCATATCCTACCCTGAATATTCCTACATATCTCAACCCCAAACCATTCTGCCACATGTAATGTATGTTCACTGCTTGCCTTAGCATCAACAGGATCCATTTGGTGAGGAAAGTAAGCCGGTTGATCTGCATAGCTCTGAGTGGCTGATTGCCAGTCGACAGCACTCGTACCACCGTCTGTCTCAGCTGAGAACGAATACAGTATACTCTGGTTTTCCATGCCTGCCCGCCGCCGCCGCCGCTGCCCCGCATTCTGGCTGTCCTGAGAGTCCTTCTGCATCTGCTGGCACTAGTGCCGTTGATGTAACACCGTGCACGGGAACGCAGGCCGCCGACACACCTACAGTGCAGCGGCGGCACCAGCACAGTGGCTTTGGCCAGGATGAGCTGGTTATCAGGTAAAGTGCCGTCGGTTGGTATAACAATTGTAAAGTGGTCTTGAGGTGTAATTTTACTGTAGTGCAGCCGTCTCACATGAATGTCAGGTACCTTCTACCCTGTGCCAAACTCGGGTTAGTTGGTGTGCAATGTACGTGTACACAGATATGGCACAATGCAATAGGCATAGCTAACTTGAACATTGATACGAATTTAGCGTCGATGATAATACTCATGTGATGCCCATTCTTCTGTCCTGAGTTACTGGTTTCATGATCTGCCAAAAATAAGAAAAAAATAACAAAATATATCGATAATGACAGAACATTCCTAACACATGACATTCTACCGATTCTTTTTAATGGAATGCTTGATAATAGATAAGTGATGTACGAGCGTATATTGTGACAACAGGTGGATCCTTGACTTGAACTTTGAGCTTCGATATCTTTTTAAAACTCTCTGCATGATTGATGAATCTGAGTTTTGATGTTGATGCCATCAACCGATTTCACTTGAATAAGTCTATTTCGCTGGCTCTGACATGCATGAGCGTTGAAATGGTCTGAGCATTTTTTGCTACTTTCGCTTGATGCCAATTACTCCAACCAGTGCACGTGCATGCGCACGCACGTGCACACACACACACACACACATACACATGCACACACACACACACACACACACACGCACAATACCCACGTTCCTCCATCGTTCTAGCTTTTTATTTTAATGGGAGCTAGCATTTGGACATGAGTGTTGAATCAAGTTGAGAATTTCCATACATTCTATATTGCCGGCGGCCTCCTTTCCTCTATTGACCCCATTCTTAAGTCCTGAATTTTACAGTTTTGATGAGAAACCTACATAACTTGTGAAAAATGATGATTGTTTTTGTTGAGCAGTACTTGTTTGCATCTTACAGTTTTTCAGAATGGACGGTTTCATTTTGGCAGCACGATTCCAAGGTGATAGACTATTATAATTATTGTTGAGATTAGCTGCTTGGTTTGGGTCATCTGCATTTTCTTTTGTATCGTACTAGTACTCTTGGCATACTTCTAGGAACATAGACACGTTGATTCTTTCTGGTTTGGGTTTTTAACTCAAAAACCAATGAATAGTAGCATAGCATTGCACGCATTTCACTTGAGTATTCATGTAACGATTGTGAGTATCGGTGCTGATGATTAGTTTCCTTCTGTGCTGGATTATTTATTTCATTAGTAGTGCGACGTAAATGTTCTTCTAACGTTCTATGTGTCCCGTGTGTTTGTGTGCGTGACTCAGTTTAGAGAGGGAGGCCCGCGGTGCATCTTGAAATAATTGAGAGCATGCAGCTAGACTTAATGAATAACAGCTGACATGCATCTGGAAGCACAGCGGCACACACTGATATCTACCATGCTGCCAGTAGCTACTGGCTGGCATCGCTGTGCAATGGTGTTCTTTCGCACAGACTGTCAACATTCTCCCTGAAGTAATATTATCTGCTTGTTCAAGGTCCACGGGGTTGTACTAGGAGAGAGAGAGATGGTCTAAAACTCAAAAAAGAACGTGGGCCCTTAAAAAGTGCGCTGAAACATTTATTTACCGGTAGCCATTTCACCAGATTTGCCTTCATAGCCGATGTTCCACTACGAGTATACAGGTGCAGTCGAATCTTCCAATCCTTACGCATCAATAATATTATGTGCGTACACATTTGTTGGACTATATTCTTTTCAGGTGAAATCCTGGGTGGCGTAACACTTGAATGTATTTATTTGCAGAGTGATTAAAACTTAAAAGCATGCATCACCATTAACAGTTCTCACATACAACACCAGTAAACTGGTCTGATACACGTACCGTGACCCGGACCCCTCCCGCACTGGTCTGATGCACGTACCGTGACCCGGACCCCTCCCGCACTGGTCTGACGTACACCCGGACCCCTCCCGCACCGGTCTGACGTACGCCCGGACCCCTCCCGCACTGGTCTGACGTACACCCGGACCCCTCCCGCACTGGTCTGACGTACACCCGGACCCCTCCCGCACTGGTCTGACATACGCCTGGACCCCTCCCGCACTGGTCTGACGTACGCCTGGTCTACCGCACGGACACCCGTATGCTAATCTGCCACACGTGCACCCCTCGGCTCCAGTGATCTGACATTGACCCACATGCCATGAGGACATCCTCATACCAACTGCAAATCAAAGTGTTTCTGAGGAGGCAGCTCTTCTTCTTAACGAACTCAACTCTATCTAAAGTTCTGCAAAAAATATCTCAGCTGGAGAAAAGCATAAATATTATATCTGAGGCAAAGACACAAAAAGAGCAACTCATATTTTCATATTATCGGATATGTAGTGTTTGTCCATGGCATAGTCGTAACCGAAAGCTGAGCATGTTTAAATCAAGACTCCGAATGTGATCAACTGAATATTCCTGCACCAGCTGGCCCGCTAGCTGCATACAGTGAATATCAAAGTAAAGCTGGAATGCTAGCGCATTTCAAATAATGATACAATCACACAATGTCTTTGTGCCTAGATACAGATTGCTTCAAACACCACAGCAGGTGATGGAGGGAATTAAAGATAGCTTTCGAATGGCACGCCACAGTACAGTGGAACTTGGACCCGCATACATGGAAAAAGTGGGACTTGTATAGGCCAACATGGCGTTACTGCGATAGGTAAAATGCGGACTACATACACGTGACTACCAACTGCATGATACGTATCGCTACGTAAGTTTATAGCCTATTGGAACATATGAGTAGTTCTGAGTTTCGTAATAAATGATATGTGCGTAGCTACTGACTTAGCATGCTATTGCGAAATATGCATATTTTTTAAGTACATGTATCTCCATCATAAAATTTCTCGTGCAGATTAGCGTTACTATCACTGGATGGATAAAATTAGATATTGAAAAGATCGCTCTCTTGTTGTTTGAGGTACGTTCTAATGTTTTGCCAGCTAAAGTGATGATGTACTGCAGTTGAAAGAAAGCTATAGTAATCACTTTAGAGCTGTGAGAGCACCTGAGATTGGGGATAGATTTTAAATAAGAGTACGAACACACCGTGACACTGTAACCTGAAAAGTCCAACACCTCTACTCAATCCATTTTTGGTGATAGGATATGCAGTGCAGCCCGGCAGCTAGGCTAACCAATGTTGGCACCACCGTGATTTACTTCTGGAGAGCAGTAAGATCACTCCATGCAGCATGGCCGTGCGAATTCAGCTTGAATTGTCCCGTGGCAACCACATGCGAGTCAACCGTCACCTTCACCGTTCCAGCGCCATTCCTGCAGGCACAGAACACGACCAGGCCACAAGCACACACACACACACCGATCAGCTTCACGACAAGAGTACCTTGTGTTCCTGTGCTGTCTATCACAGACTTTCACACCACCACAGGAAACTAGTGGAGTCACACACATTCAGATCTCATCAATATTGGCTAGATCAGTGCTCGTTCAGCCCTGAAACGTGACAACTGCCATCAGCAAGTGGCAGGGCAATATTCTGCAGTGGATCTCACTTGATACCTGTAGAGGTTTGAATACTCATGAAAGAAAGGTAGTGTAGTTGTCATGCCGGTGGCAGGCTTACCTTGTTCGAATAGGGTTTTCCAGCGAGAGGGGAGAGAAGGACCAGGACGGCTCGATTGGCCAGGTTTCGTTTAGTGGACTAGGTCGGATTCTCTCCACACAGTCAGACTGCAGCTGTACTTGTCGGATCTTGCCATGGCTGTGGGGCACAACCACGCGCAGCACAGATGAATCCTCAGCCAGAGTCCTGCAAAGGTTTTGCTTTGGTACTGGTGATTTGGCTGCTACTGCATGTGCGGTCATGGTCAGTAGTGTGTAGTCAACGCCTGGCTGGAGATTGGCATCCACTTGGAACTGAAACACAAGCCCTGCACACAATGAGAATAGCAGACAAAATTCTTATATAATAAATGGTGAATATTTTACGTGATTCAGCAACATACGACTACTTGCCACACACCACTGTTGTCTGCGGTCATAATAGCTCATCAAGCCGGTTGTGCTGTAACTGCAAATACGCAGCACGGCTGTTGTGACCATGCAGCCAGCCCTCCTTCAAATATTACCGCCAAAGTCACGGTATGGCATTGTCACCGATTATTGTGGATATCCGTCCGACTTGACTACACATCAAGGAGTCACACATACACTGCAATCTTGCAAACACTACACAGCAGTCTAGTCTAGGTTTGGACTTTCTCAGGTTGGCTGCTACGTAGGACTCGTATCTAATAAACATGGTGACAATGCTCAAGCTAACACTTACATTCATCATGATGAGGATTTCGAATTGCTGTATTGTCGCCGGTCCCCACAGATGAGTTCATCGCACCTGCACGAAGACACAAACGAAATAGCTTTTAAAAGGTGATGTACTACGAATACACAGTATATGTACAAGTACAGGAAAAAAAGCAACAAAAGGAAATAAATGATCCAAGTTTGTGTCTCCCTAACATGGATGAATTTGCATTGCTGCCTTCTCATCCTGACAAAACATATCAGGTCTCTCACAAAATCGGGTGAAAACACTAAGGTCCGCCTACCTACACCCCCCCCCCCCCCCCCCCGAATCACCACACACACACACACACACACACACACACACACACACACACACACACACACACACACACACACACACACACACATACACACGCGCACACCCTCAGGTTTCGTCGAAAGCATTCTTCCCGAGTCTTACGGCAGGTTTATTAGACCATCCAATGAAACTATTCAAAGCTGATAGTCATGCCATCTGTGGACTACTAGCCTAAATTATCTACCCATAGCTTTCTTTGGTTTACGCCTTCCCTACATAGTCTTCATCTTTTATTGATTGGCTCCTTGCATAATTATGTGGGTAGAGAGGAGAAGGCATGAATACAAATCAAACAAATTCTAAAAAAGACCTTACACCTACTACAATAAAACCTGTCAAGGCGACCACTCGGATAAGGCGACCACCTGTCCAAGAAGACCACTGAAACCAGGATCAAGGGATGCTATTTCCAGTCAAATGTCCCTGGATAAGGAGACCACCTAGTAACAGAGACCACATTTTGAAGGTCCCTTGAGCGGTCGTCTTAGACAGGTTTCACTGTGCTATGAAGTGCGAGTAATTTTTATAATCTTGCAGTACAATTACCGGCGTTTTTGGAGGTGCTAGTAACTTTGTCCAATCCAACGGCAGCATTATCCCTCGCGCGATCTTCAAGTCGCGTTCCATCCGCGGAGGAGACTGCACCGCTTGATTCCAACTCAGGGCTGCATTGACAGAGTGTGCAGTCCTCAACATGACCACTAGTGGCGGAAGGGCCCGCACCACCGCTTCTAGCGCGCTCCTCGCCCTGGTCAACGCTGGATTCGCGGCATGGCGTGTGAGAGATAACTGGTTGCTGAGAGGCAGTGAAAATGCACTCGGCCAACAGCAGAAATACAGCCATCGTCTATTAGTGAAGAAAGAAGAGCCCGAACGCGTGGGTGACTATAGTTATGGTGAAAGAAATAAGTCGGTTGTTTTTATATCAAGTCTCCGCACACGTGAATGAAGTGACCCGGGATAACGAGTTGTGTAAGTAACAACAACGTTAGTTGCCAAGTATTATTTTAGAATCTACCGGTACGTTATCAATTTCCCAACAGGAGGGATTATTCTGTCCGGCCGGACGTCGGCATATTTCGCATTGCTAATCAAGCGGTAAGCAATTGTTATACTAGTTATCACATGCACGCTGCGTGCGCGTTGGGACCTTCCCATGCGCGTGTGAGATAAGTGACTCTTTGGCTGTCAAGTGTCATCGCCTCATCGGGAGAAATCCCTAGCTTTTCATAAACAGATTACGTAACTTCGGGAAGTTTCACGACAGGATCGGATAGCCTGCGTCATTGTCAGTCCATGCGCCAAGGGCCAAAAATGACCCGAATCTTTATGCAAAATGAAGATGACGACGCCGCTTTTTTCGACTTTTTCTGGGACCACTTTTGAGCAGGAATCACCATTTTGATCGTCTTCGATTTGGCATGGAAGACTTTCATGAATGCTATTGTAACTTGGCCTGCTGAGGGCTAGGATAGTCCCTAAACAGAATCTGGAAGCCGTTCCGCCAGAGATTTGTCCGTCATGTTGCAGCAGAGCCACTTTTCTCAATTTTGCGTCGTCCAGAATTTATGATTTTTGGATGCCAAAATACTTGATGGCGTGAGAACCAAAAAAGAACTACCGGACACCACCCAGACCTCAGGTATGTATAGTCCATTGTCCTAGGCTGCTCATAAAGCAAAAATTGTCTTGATAGTAACTTGCCCAAAAATTTGGCGAATTTTTCCTAATACCCTAGTTGCCAATACACGAGAATCACGAAAACTAGTATGGCTGATGGATTTCTGATTTTCTTCTCGTAAACTTGAGGACAATTATCTACGATGTTACAAATATTAATGGGTGTTTTGAATGTGAACAGATACACTTCAAAAGGCTGATCGCGTTCTCAGATCAGCTGCAAACGAGTGTCAAAATTGTAGTTCAGAGCGATGTCCATTGAGGCTCTTCACCCGATTTCGCAGTTCATACATGGTAGTCATGGGAAGTTGGGTAGAATTAAATAAGTATGTATGCACTCTTAATTATTCCATAGACAAAGACATGTTCTGGAGTCTCATGGTGTTCGGCAGGCGCAATTATTACCTTCATCGTTTCTCGGTGAATTAACTCACTCCACCATTCCATACTGCACTCTTAGCCGACCCACGCCGCTTGCACATCACCAACACAGCGGGGACATTTCTGTTGAGATATTCCTGCCCCGTAAGCCGAGAAAAAAGGACAGCACTGCAGTGAACAGACCCTGACAAGAGGACCATATCGTAATGGCCCATGCGCTTATACACACACTTTTGCCGTATTTGTTACTTTTGCAGGTCGATTGGTCTCACATAGAGGCGCATGTGCTTGTAGTTGTGTTACCAGTATGGATTGTGGAAGCTGCGCATTAAACCCTGTAAAGATGGCATATGGTGGACCCTGTGGTATCAGCGTGTCGTGGCCCGTGGGATTGATTGGGTTCACCTATGAAGTACAGTAGGCATCGGTTATAGCGTGGGTGTTTGAAAAACGACTTTCTATTCTTATTTCCGATATTTCTTACACACGATAAATCAAATGTGACACATCACGTGCATGTACGCGGAGTCAGGAAGATCATCGTACATGCAATGTAGTGTTACTGTGCATGCGGCTGGTCATAGTCACATAGGCTTACCATCTGGCTATGCAACATGAGTTACATGACCACAACAGTTGAACCTGTAGCACTACAACCCAACGCGAATCAGGTCGGAACTGCAGTGGACGGATGTTATTACTACAGACGATATACTTTGTACTAATCTGGTATGTTTTGCTACACAAAGTCCATTCTTAGGACCGATATATTCTACTGTACGATAAAATTGCTTTTAAGAATAAATGTGCACTTGAAATCCATGTTATGATTATGAAAACATGAGAGTTCATTCTTGTAGGCAGTATATTCTTTTACACGACCACGCTATAACCGATACGCACTGTACAAGTAGGGCTGAAACGATTATACCGATTACTGTAGAACGGGTAACTTTAGCGACGTAAAAACCCTAGCGAATTTAGCGATCAACTCATTTTTCGCTAAAGTTTTAAGTCGCTAATCCGTTGAGACATTAGTAGTGCACTGGTGATCCGTGAGTAGTAATACTAGTACAGTGCTGGCAACTGAAATCCGACCCCCAAGGGGTCGGATTTCAGTTGCCAGCACTTTAGTAGTACTAGCAAGAGTACATAACCCCCCAGAGTGTGCAACACCGATCCAGCTCTGCATAGGGTGTTGGTCGAGCGGAATCGGATCTTCTGATGTCATGCGTACACTCCACACCAGCGCAAGGCCGGTCTCGAGGCAGGGCACCATTGTTTTTGATCCAAGAGTACCCGCGACTCCCCGGGTTCCCCTCAGATGTGTACGGTATTATGACGCAAAGATCCGATTCCGCTCGACCAAGACCCTATGCAGAGCTGGATCAGGCGTTGCACACTCTGGGGGGTTATGTACTCTTGGTACTAGTTAGCACATGTTTTATGATGTTCTCTCGTACTAGCACTCATAGTACACGGCAGTGATGGTTTGTACATACAGTAGTAGAATGCAGTATCAAAATGTGTACAATGAAGAAAAATGTAAATCGCTAAAATAAAACGTCGCTAACCGGTTGACAATGGGAAAACGCTAAAATTAATAGTCGCTAGAATTACCCGTTCTACAGTACTCGGTCATTGATCAATAATTCCTCACAATGAACTTCAATGCTTATGACTTGTATGGCTTTTCATTTTGTTTTTGTCCATGCAGGAGTCGGGATTATGCCGTCTACTGAACATTGTCGCATGCGTTCCTATAGAGCAAGCTGGCTGCTCTCCATCTTGATTATGGACCTCAAGTGTGGACCCAACTGGTCAGAGAAATGAAGGAACAATCGTCATGGTGCACTCTCAGTGCCAAGGATATGCCTTGTGAAATGTGCCATATGCAGTTACTAGAGGAATTGTCTCGTTCCTTGCAAGCTGTTCGGTCACAAGCAATACTGTCACATCCCATACACGGCTGAACTGGTTAAGAGTACGTGCACACCCGTCTTGTCCTTTGCCGAGGAACGTGGTCCAGCGTTTCGAACACAGCACGCTGACCATTTACAGCTCGTTTGTAGTGGATTGTGTGAGTTTGGTCTGGTGGGATTCGTAGCCGTGTTTAATTAAACAAGCCACTGAAGACAGATTTTCAGTGCCTCTGTCTTGGTTGAGGTTTTTCCAATCATATTCTGTGCACATATGGGTATCCAAGTGCCTATCAAGTATCATGGTCACTGCATACAGATCCATGTGGCTCTTGAATATGGACAACAGTCTATGGACAACAATCTTCTGTTTGATTGCCAGGCCTGGTGATGTTGTCCTAATTTGGTCACTCTATCTTATGCCGGCATTCAGTGTGTAAATGCTGGTGCTGGCTAGACTGTGAAGTATGGGGAATGATGCTCGTGTAGAATTCATTCCCTTTGACCGAAAGCTTGTGTTTCGGATCCTGTTTGTAGCTGTACACAATTTCTCCGTTCTTCCTTGTGGTTAACTTTCGCCTCCGACTATCCCTAACCATCTCATTGGTGCGTCTGTCCATGACGTGGCTGGTTGGCATCGGAGTTGGGCACTGCCCTGTCATCCACTGGCATAGTGTTGAACCTAACTGACTTGTATGTCACATACTAGCTGGAAGTTGTTTAAATTAAAGGGTACAGTTCCAGTCTTTTAGTAGCTTTACCATTCCTACTTCGAAGTATTTCTTAGCTATTTCCTTTACTCGGCCTTAGGACACTTTCTTCACCATACACTGTGTTTCTTTGGCCGTAAAAGAGGCAGTCTGCACTTGTATTGAGTTTCCTCGTCGTGAAGGAGATGGAAAAGAAAGCACACATATAGCACGTCCTGCCTGTGTCTAGGCTATAAGCACTTTTAGTTGCTACAGTACATGTACCATGTGGTTGACTGAAACCAGGGTGTGCCAGATTAATGATCAAGAATGCATGCTGCAGCTGGGCTGTTTTGTTCCTTTTCTTATGTAGATCTACAGTGAAGGAATCGAAAGTGCATGTAACGTGCAATGTGTTTGCAAGTGAAATAATGTAAAGCCCCCCCCCCCCCGGGAATACCTGCGCTCGAATCTGGCCCCCGTGAATTCCGCGATTCCGCGGATTGCAGAATTTCCGCAGAATCCAGTAGCGTCCGCTGAATTCAGAAAATCCCGCGGAATATTGCAGAAAAGAGAGAAAAACTGCTTTTTCTGGAGACTTTCAATGTATTTTCACAGCCAAACCAACCTGCTTGTGACTTTCATAATCAACTGGCAGTATATTTTAGAGCTTTTAATTTTTTCGACCAGGATTTCGCATAATTTTGGTTCAGAATTTATAGGGACAACAAACTTCGGTGGGGTTGCGAAAATTCAACCTGTTTTTACGCTCATTTTCCTTGCAGAATTGCCGCAGAATAGAGAAGGATTCGCAGAATTAGCACAGAATTTACTGTTTTTAGCCGCAGAATTCTGCACGGAATTTCTGATATTCTGCCGCGGAATTCACGGGGGACAGTCGAATGTACTATCATGTGGTCCATGTGCATGATAATGATAATTGAATTGGTTCAGCACTGTATTCTGGTGTATGTGCTGAAGTTGTTTACAGGTAGAAATTGACGGGGGCACACCAAGTTAGTTCTTTACATTACATGTACATGTACAGTAGAGCCTCGCTTTAAAGGGGAAGTTAAGCCTGGAATCAAATTTTCACCAGTTGTAGTCTTCGGGGTGCTGAGTCCAATGGTCTCTGTGCAAGGAAGCTGAGACGCTCCCTTCCTCCTTTATTCCCAATCGAACTCGCGCACTTCCACCGAAATTGGGTGACTGCGCCCTACTAGATGGGAATTTGTATGCAAAATGTCACCAAAAGCGCCATTTCGTTCTTATAAAAGCACGGATGACCGCGATTGGCCCATATGTTGTACTAGTAGTCTTTTGGACGCTGAGTCGACTGGTTTTGGTCCGAAAAGGCTGTGATGTAGCATTCGGCCCTTATTCCAA